CTTACCAGCCTCTTGCTACCTTTACTGCTGAGCCGGGCTCAGGTCTCTACACTCTTCACACTGGCCCGCGTGCGCAGCAGCAGCAGCCGCAGCAGCAGCAGCAGCCGCAGCCACAGCAGCAGCAGCAGCAGCAGCAGCAGCTGCACCAGCGGTCGCACCAGCAGCCGCCCCTACTGCCACTGCCCCCGGTTCCCCCCCCCGTTCGGGTCCCCGCGTCTCACCAGGTTGCTTCGTCCCCCCAGGTGTCTGTGTCGTGTCAGGTTCCTACGTCTGCTCCAGTCGCTGCGTCGTGCTCCTGCCGGTCGCTTGCCCACCCCACCGTTCTGTGGCACCACCGGATGGGGCACCCGTCCCTTCCTCGTCTGCGCGCTATGTCTAGTCAGCGTCTTGTCCTAGGCCTCCCACGTGTCTTGCCGTCGCTGCCGCCTTCGCTTGCGCCGCCGTGTGGTCCGTGCGTCGAGGGTCGGCTGCGCGCCGCCCCTCACTCCTCCTCCCTTCGTCCGGCCACCGAGCCTTTTGAGACGCTTCACTTGGACGTCTGGGGCCCCGCCCCTCGTCTAGGCCCTGAGCGTGAGCGCTACTTTCTGGTGGTCGTTGACGACTTCTCCCGCTACACCACAGTGTTCCCTCTGGCGAAGAAGTCTGAGGTGACTTCTACGCTGATCAGGTGGTTGCTCACCATCGAGGACACACGTGGTCGTCGTGTCAGCTGCCTCCACTCCGACCGTGGGGGTGAGTTTCGCTCCGGCATTCTCGCTGGATTCTGTCGCGAGCAGGGCATTCGTCAGTCCTGGACGCTTCCAGAGTCCCCACAGCAGAATGGGGTTGCTGAGCGCCGCATAGGCCTGGTCATGGAGATCGCCCGCACCTCCCTGACTCACGCCTGTGCCCCCCATTTTCTGTGGCCCTACGCGGTCAGGTACGCCGCGCACCAGCTGAACCTCTGGCCACGTGTCTCTCGACCAGAGGTTTCACCGACCAGTCTTTGGACAGGGTCCCCTGGTGTTGCGTCGCGGTTTCGTGTCTGGGGGTGCTTGGCTCTTGTCCGCGACACCTCCGCGGACAAGCTCTCGCCTCGTGCCGTCCCCTGTGTCTTCCTTGGTTTCCCTGAGGACTCCTCTGACTTCACCTTTTACCACCCTCCCTCTCACCGGTTCTTTGACTCCCGTGACGTCCGTTTCGAGGAGTCCACTCCGTACTACGTCAGGTACCCCAGTCGAGGTCTCCAGGTTCCTCCTCCCCCCCTCTTCCTGACTGCCGCTCCCCCTCCTGTTCCCCCGGTACAGCCTCCCCCCCCTGGTCCAGCCCCATCGGGTGTGTCCCAGGCTACCCCTCCTCCTTCGGTAGCCTCTCCGGTACAGCCTCCCTCCCCACAGTCCTCCTCGCAGCGTGCCGCAGGTGCTAGCTCTCGAGAGGTTGGTGCTGCGCCTGTTCCTGTACCGGTTTCTAGTTCTGGGGGTGGTGGAGTTGGAGCTGGAGTTGGAGCTGGAGTTGGAGCTGGAGTTGGCACTGGAGTTTCTGGTTCTGGGGGTGCTGGGGTTGGAGCTGGAGTTGGAGCTGGAGTTTCTGGTTCTGGAGTTGGAGCTGACCCGGTGGGTGCAGAGGACTCTTGTCGTCCGGGAGCTGGTGCTGGTCGCGCGGACACTGGGGGTGAGAGTGCGCCTCCTTCGGGTTCTGGTGAGCCTGGGTCTGGAGCTGGTGTTAGTGCTGCCTCTGGGGGTGGTGCGCCTGGTTCTTCGGGGGTGGACTCTGGAGCTACCGCTGCTTCGGACACTACTCCGCCCCCCCACCCCTACCCGACTAGGCACCAGGCTCGTGTTCGCCGTGCCCGTGACGAGCAGCTGGCGTTGGAGAGAGAGGAGAGGGAGTTACAGCGGTTGGAGGAGCAGCAGCAGCAGCTGGAGCCGCAGGAGCAGCAGCAGCAGCAGCAGCAGCAGCTGGACCCGCAGGAGCAGCAGTCCCAGCAGCAGCCGCTTCCGCAGCAGCAGCAGTCGCAGCAGCAGCAGCAGCAGCAGCCACTTCCTCCTCCTGTCTCGGGTCTTCGGACCCTTGGTCTCCCCTCCCCTTCTCCTCCCTCCTCCGCCTCTCCTCCTGTCTACGGTCCCACGTTTCCTCCTCCTGACTCCTCCCCCGCTGTTTTCCCCAGTTCTCCGCCTTTGTCCTCTCCTCCTCCGTCTCGTTCTTGGGCTACTCGTCGCTCCCCTCGTGCTCGTCCCTCGTCTCCTGTTCCCTTCACTGACCTTCGTACTGCCTTCCTTCTTTCTAGTCCACCTCGTCCGTCTCAGTCTGTGCTTCCGTCTCCTCCTGAGTCGGCCCTCACTGTGTCGCTCCCTACTCCTGTCACTGACTACTACCGCACGTACCGTCCTGTTCTCGCCTCTCTTGTTACTCACCCTCGTGCCTCTGTGTCCTCTGTGTCCGCTCTTACTGCCGCAGTTACTGACTTTGCCTCTACCCGCCGCCTTGACTACGCCACCACGCTTGTGGCTGCTCCTCCTACCAGTCCTCTGGCCGTCGGGGGTGTGTCTGCCCTTGGCTGTGACGCCCTAGAGGACAGGCAGTTTGAGCTAGAGTTCCTGGCGGCCGCTTCCCCTCATCTCTGTGCCATGCTCCTCGCCCCTGAGGGTGACCCCGACGCCCTTGACATTCCGACTCCTCGCACTTACGCTGAGGCAGTGTCAGGGCCTTGGGCCTCTCAGTGGAGAGCTGCCATGGACGCAGAGATGGCCTCCTACACATCCACAGGCACCTACGTCGATGAGGTTCCCCCCCCTGGGGCGAACGTAGTCGACGGCATGTGGATCTACAGGGTGAAGCGGCCACCGGGATCTCCCCCGGTCTTCAAGGCGCGCTACGTGGCTAGAGGTTTCAGTCAGCGCGAGGGAGTTGACTTCTTTCAGACCTTCGCACCTACCCCGAAGATGACCACTCTTCGGGTGTTACTACACGTAGCAGCACAGAGAGACTACGAGTTACACTCTCTCGACTTCTCCACTGCTTTCCTTCAGGGCAGCCTACACGAGGAGGTCTGGTTGCGTCGTCCCTCGGCCTTCACTGGCACCTTCCCTCCTGGGACCCAGTGGAGGCTGAGGCGACCTGTTTACGGTCTTCGCCAGGCCCCTCGTGAGTGGCACGACACTCTGCGCTCTACCATCTCTGACCTTGGGTTCCAGCCGTCTTCTGCCGACCCGTCGCTGTTCGTTCGTCGTGGCTCCACACCGTTCTTTGTTCTGGTTTACGTCGACGACCTCGTTTTCGCCACTCCGAACAGGGTTGCTTTGGCAGACGTGAAGTCCGAACTGCAGAAGAGACACACGTGCACTGATCTTGGTGAGCTGCGCCACTACCTTGGCCTGCAGATCACCAGGGACAGAGCCGCTCGCACCATTACACTCTCACAGTCACACATGGTGCAGCAGGTCCTTCAGCGGTTCGGGCTTCAGCACTCCACCGTACAGCGCACACCTCTCGCTGTTGACCACAGACTCACTGGTCCCTTTCCTGACGAGCCGTTTGAGCCTAGTGGTCCCTACGCAGAGCTTGTGGGTTGCCTCATGTACCTGATGACTTGTACTCGCCCGGACCTCGCCTTCCCTCTCAGCATCCTTGCGCGCTTTGTTGCGCCAGGGAGACACCGTCCTGTTCACTGGACGGCAGCTGTGAGGGTGGCGAAGTACCTAGCGACTACATCAGGCGTGGGGCTAGTTCTTGGAGGGCAGCAGTCTGTCGTACTCACTGGTCACTGTGACTCCTCTTACGCTGACGACGCTGAGACTCACAGGTCTACTCAGGGGTACTGTTTCAGTCTGGGTTCTGGAGCTGTTTCCTGGCGTTCCACGCGCTCCTCTTCTGTCTCGACCTCTACAGCTGAGGCTGAGATTTACGCTGGTGCCATGGCGGCACAGGAGTTGCGTTGGTTGACCTTCTTGCTCGCCGACCTTGGTGAGCGGCCGAGCTCTGCACCGACCTTGTTCACTGACAACAAGGCGTCGATCCTCCTCTGTCGTGAGCCGCGACTGGAGAGCAGAGTGAAGCACATTCACGTCAGGTACTTTCTTCTGCGAGAGTTGCAGAGACGTGGACAGGCTCGCTTCGAGTTTGTGGAGTCCGAGGCCAACACTGCAGACATCTTCACCAAGGCGCTTCCGCCTCGTGACCACCAGAGGTGTTGTGTGCAGTTAGGCCTTGTTGACACGGGTTCTAGTCATGTGTAGGCTTGAGTTTATTGCCTGCGTCGTCTGTACTCTTGCTATATATACTTGTGATCTCTTGGACTGGCCTTGTGGCCACTGTTGCTTGTGCTCAGAGAGTGTGGTGACGTTGTGATCCACCCTGAGCTTTGTTTTCTTTTGGACTGGTCTTGTGACCGTACTCTTTTTTATTTTGCTAGACACCCCTCACTTAGGCTATGGGGGTGTGTCAAATGTTGTAGCCTGTAGTGAGGTTTGTCTTAGGGGGTACAGAAGTTAGGGTTTGTTATATGTACCCCAACCAACATCAATGGCATCATCATTCCTCATTTTGACAGTGCGGTACCAAGCGGTGACGTTTGGTGGAGTGTGGTGTAGCATGGCTGGAGTGAATAAAACAAGCCGTGGTATTGCTGACATGGAAGAAGGGGAAAGTACTATGCAAACTTGGTCTGGGAGGGGCTGTGTGGCAAGGGCGCATTCCTACAGCCTCTTGTCGGCTGATCCTCGTATCAGACTCGCGACGCACTGCACTTGAGTGCGCATAATCGCATCAAATGCCACTGAGATGCATTGATGCATGCAAGTTTGAAGGTGTGACTGGTATTGGTAAGAGGCTTGCGAGTATTTAACACACGCTGCTATGTATAGCCGTGCAGCGCAAAAATATGTTTGTACCCTGAAATATGAGCTACTGGTTTGCTGTGGAGAAATATAATCATGGACCTATAGATTGGTACCGTCATTGCCCCTCGACGAAAGAGCAAACTAGTTGAATCTGAAAGAACATAGAATCACATTGTCATGGCGTCATGTTGGAATGGTGTAGCTATAAACAAACACTGCGCTGTGCGCCCACCTTATGAAGGGGAAGCACCACCTAGTTGATGGCTCTCCAAGCGAGGGAACGAGAGGCGGGACGTGAGGGAAGCACGGGGGAATGCTTGGGAGACGGAGAGTGCAAGTGGAGACAAGAGGGCGAGCTGAGGGAGAGAGCCACGGAGACGGGGATAGGCGAGTGGAGGGTTGTTGGGAGGGCGAGGGGAAGTGGAGGGAAGGGAGGGAGAAGGCGGGCCTAGGAGAGGGAGAGTGGGACTTGAGCTGGGCCATGGTGTGAAGGAGAGAGTGCTTGAGTGATGCTATGCGGTTGGCCCTTTGAGCAAGCTGCGAGCTGGGAACAAGACGGAGCATGGGAAGGATAGGCACAGAACGAGGGCAGGGGTTAGGAGAGGGAGAGTGGGACTTGAGCTGGGCCATGGTGTGAAGGAGAGAGTGCTTGAGTGCTGCAATGCGGTTGGCCCTTTGAGCAAGCTGCGAGCAGGGAGGAAGACGGAGCATGGGAAGGATAGGCACAGAACGAGGGCAGGGGTTAGGAGAGGGAGAGCGGGACTTAGCTGAGCCATGGTTTGAAGGAGAGAGTGCTTTAGTGTTGCAATGCGGTTGGGCCTTTGAGCAAGCAAGCTGCAAGGGGAGGAGACAGGCAGGCAAGGAAGGAGAGAAAGGGTAAGGCGAGTAGTTGAGGATTTAAGTGAGTTGAGCCGTGCAGCTGCAGAGGAAGCCGCAGCAGCATCAGCATCGGAAGCAGAGCACAGCACAACAGGTACGGTAGAAGGAAAATCACAACACAGCACCTAGTGAATTGTTATCCGGATTATTTTGAGATGGAACATAAATACATGGGCTAGCAGGCAGCAGTCACACAATACAGGAAGGGCTCTACTGACTTGTCCAACAAATCAACCAACTAAAACGCATGAGTCGCTGCGCCGCCTCTGTTGCCAAGGCAAAGCCACGAAGACAATTCACCAAGGCAAGTGACAGAGTCATATACCGTAGGTAGGGTAGGATGAACCCGGGCAAAGGTAGATGAGGGGGGTTGAGGGAAGGCAATGAGGGAGGGGGATGAGGGATGGGAAAACGAGGAGTGAAGCGGGCTGGAGATGACAGGTAGGGCAGCAGGAGCCTGGGTGTGGACGATAGTTAAGGGAGGTGGAGGGAAGATAGAGGCAATGAAAGGCGGAGGGAAATCGAGAGATTTTTGAATTGGGAGAGAGATGACAGGGGAACAGGAAAGTGTGAGGGAGAGGAGAGGTAAGTTGGGAAAAGGAGGGGAGGGGAAAGAGGAAGGGGGGAGCGGCGGGGAAGGGGGGGCTGTGAGGCGAGTGGGAAGGGGAGGGGATGAGGGGTTGTATAATGAGGGGTATGTACGGCTGGACATGATCGGATGGGGAATGGAGATGAAATGGGGAAAGAGGACGAGGGGTGAGAGAGAGGGTGATGAGGGGTGGACGGGAGAGGAGAAAAGGGGAGCGGAGGTGACATAAGTGGAGAGCAGAGGAGGGCGAGAGGAGATCGGGAGAAAATGAAGGGGAGCGGGAAGATGAGTCGAGAGCGGGTGGAGACGAGCGAAGAGCAGAGACAGTTGGAACATGCCCCCCCCAACCCCCCTCCCCCCCCCCTCCTTTCCCCCCTTCCCCCCTTCTCCTCCTCTCCAATCCCTCTCTCCCCACACTCCCCTCCATCCACCCAACCCTTCCCTTCAGTCACCACCTTGTTCAAGACCCAAAATCATGTGCATTCGCTTAATCACCGCCGCCTTGGCTTGTTAACAGACGAACCGGCCGCACTGCCGACGCTAATCGCGCGTCTCCGAACCGAGGCTAATAATGCGTCCGCATGGTATGTGCTCATGGATATATGTAGTTAATGTGGTGCAAATCGATGCTAGTATTGTGTCCGCGAATGGTACTGTAGTCCCCGCGAATCGACGTTCCGCAATGCATCGATTTAAAAAACACGTGCTACTGGCTACTGTGCGCAACTGGCGGTATTTGGTTCACTAACTGAAGCGGCGAAAATCAATATACGGCTGATAACAGCGACTACCGCCATCTGCGGTGCTAAGCAGTAACTTGCGCTCAGATACGTGAAGCCGCGAGGGAGGAAAAACAAGAACTGACGGTAAAGCGCTTAGATCTCAAATCTACCGTAACGGAGACTGAAGAGATGGATTAGAGAAAATAACTATGACAAAGAAGCATCTCGCATCAATCGTTCGAACTAACTTGGAGAACAAATTCGCATCCTTGATTCCAGGGTGGTAACTAATATATAACTTCACATATCATACAAGTCACGAAGCATCGCTAAGCTCCTACAGTAAAACTCTTCAACCAACTTCCTCGGCAGAACGCCAGCCGTTCGGCTTAGCTCCAAGCGCTGAACTGCTCTGTCCGTACAGTATGGCCAAGTGATGAGTCGCTTCACGAGTTGAGTTGCTTCAAAGAGTTGAACTGCTTGAAGTGTTAGAACCGCTGGAAGAGTTGAACCGCTTGAAGAGTTGAGCCGCTTGAAGTGTTGAACCGCTTGAAGAGTTGAACCGCTTAAGTGTTGAACCGCCCGAACTTTGTCTTGAATTTGACCCCTCTTGGCCGCTAGAGGCAAAAGCCTCTAGCGTTACACCCGCACACCGCGTTGAGGTGGAGGTCATTCGTGCGGGACCCTGTTTGGGAGGGGGTGGGGTGGGGGGGAGTTTTCTTGGAAAAAGAGGAGAGGGAAGGTTAGTCTACTGCCCGCGGGCAGGATTAGATCAAGGGAATCCAAACACATCGGGACCAGATCCGTTCCCAAACACACCTGATCGCGCCCAAACACACCTTACCGCGCCTAACCTTCTCTCTAATCTACAGTAACGCTCCTACTCGCCTACACGTGCCTGGCTAGCCCACCTGTACCTCCCCAACCTACAAACCATTCACCGCTGGTGCTCCCGCCATCCCCTTGAAAAGGGGAACGGGGAAGGGGGAAAAGGGGAGTCAAACTCCAGCGCCTCGCACCGCCACTCCTCCGCGCTGCCGCTCTTCCGTCCGCCGTTTTCCCGCTCCGCCGCTCGTCCGTCAATCAACCCGCCGCTCGTCCATCGCTCCGCCGACTTCGATTCGTCGCGCCTCCGCGTCTCCCTCCTCTCGACTTGTAATTTCCTGCAGCAGAGCCAAAGACACCAAAGAGAGACGTTAGGACGCGTTACAAGTAAAACATCGATTCTGCACAAGATCGGTGTTTCGCATTCACGACGTCGTTAAGTGCTGGTTACCTTTTTCGTCATCCATCGACATTCTACAGTTGTCCCCTTGGAGTCGGGCGATCGATGTGCCCTTGTCACACATCGATCGTGCAATTTCGTCCACATCGGGCAATTTTGCCCCATGTTTTTCCGATCGTGTCACTTGGGACTTGCGGTGGGTCCGCGATTGCAAAAAATCAGTAGTGGCACACCGATGTGGCGATTGATTTTGCAGGATCGTTGAAAATCCCCGATCCTTCCTCGGTTTTTCAAATGTGACGCGTCCTTAGTGAATTCCAAACCACACACAAAAGCTGAATGGACGATATCACCTGATAGAAGCTCCCGCTCGTGCTCCCGCCGCTCCCAATTCCGCTCCAGCTCCCACCAGCTCCAGCTTCACAAACCACGGAAAAACAAGAGGAAGTTAGTAAATGTGAAGGAAAAAAATATGTTAACTGGAACGACGAGCATACCAGGGAAGGGTGTTATTCCTCCTCCGCGCTACCGCTCCCTCGAGGATCCGCGCGGATCCGCGCTCCTGCCACTTCACAAACAAAGGAAAAAAAAAAAGAGAAAGTAGTAAGTAAACGTGAAGGAACAAGAAGCTAAACTGGAACGACGAGCTTACCACGGAATGTTGTTCTTCCTCCGTGCTCCCGCTCCCTCCACGCTCCTGCCGCTTCACAATCAAAGGAGAAACAAGAGAAAGTTAGTAAACGTGAAGGAACAATAGAAGCTAAACTGGAACGACGAGCTTACCACGGAATGTTGTTCTTCCTCCGCGCTCTCGTTCCCTCCGCGCTCCTGCCACTTCACAAACCAAGGAAAAAAAGAGAAAGTAAGTAAACGTGAAGGAAAAAAAAAAGAAGTTAACTGGAACGACGAGCTTACCACGGAAGGTGTTGTTCCTCCTCCGCGCTCCCGTTCCCTCCGCGCTCCTGCCACTTCACCAACCAAGGAAAAAAAAGAGAAAGTAAGTAAACGTGAAGGAATAAAAGAAGTTAACTGGAACGACGAGCTTACCACGAAAGGTGTTGTTCTTTCTCCCACTCCAGCTCCCTCCGCGCTCCTGCCCCTTCACAAACCAGGGGAAAAAAGAGAAAGTTAGTAAACGTGAAGGAAAAAATATGTTAAACAGGAACGACGAGCTTACCACGGAATGATGGTTTTCCTCCCGCTCCCGCTCCCTCCGCCGCTCCTGCCACTTCACAAACCTAGGAAAAAAAGAGAAATTTAGTAAATTGAAGGAAAAGGAAAAGGAAAATTGAAAGGACGAGCTCACCAGGGAAGTTGTCGTTCACATAGGCTTGGTCGTCGTAGGCTTGGTCGTATTCTTGGACGTTGACGTTGACGAAGTCTTGGTCGAAGTCTTTGTCGTAGTCTTGTTCGTCTTGGTCGTAGGCTTGGTCGTCTTGGTCGTCTTGGTCGTAAGCTTGGTCGTCTTGGTCGTCTTGGTCGTAGGATTGGTCATCTTGGTCGTAGGCTTGGTCGTCTTGGTCGGTCTTGGTCGTCTTGGTCGGTCTTTCTCGTAGGCTTGGTCGTTTTGGTCGTCTTGGTCGTCTTGGTCGTAGTCCTGGTCGTCTTGGTCGGTCTTGGTCGTCTTGGTCGTCTTGGTCGTCTTGGTCGTCTTGGTCGGTCTTGGTCGTCTTGGTCGTAGGCTTGGTCGTCTTGGTCGTCTTGGTCGTCTTGGTCGGTCTTGGTCGTCTTGGTCGTCTTGGTCGTCTTGGTCGTCTTGGTCGGTCTTGGTCGTCTTGGTCGTAGGCTTGGTCGTCTTGGTCGTCTTGGTCGTCTTGGTCGGTCTTGGTCGTCTTGGTCGTCTTGGTCGTAGACTTGATCGTAGACTTGGTCGCCTTGGTCGTAATCTTGGTCGTAGACTTGGACGATGACGTTGACGAAGTCTTGGAGGTAGACTTGGTTGTGGCCTAGGTCTTGACGTTGACGTTGGTTGTTCTTGGTCGTAGCCTTCTTCTAACTCTTCATTCCTGGAGGCTGCACATTGACCATGCCACGTCATACCATGAGTGAGAAAGGCCGAAGAAAGAAAACGAGACGAAAGATGACAAACGGAAGATGACAAAACGAAAAACGACGACGAATCTGAGAGGCGTCGCCAGCGCGGTGCGAAGCGCCGCGCGACGGGTGAAGAGTCGCCATGCTCCCGCCGAAGCGACGCTGTGCGACGGGATACTCGTCGCCATGCCCCGGACGAAGCGACGCCGCACGACCGGAGAAGCGCCATCGACGGGTCTCCTCACCATCTGCAGGGAACAAGGAAAGCCGTTAGCTGAACCGTTGAAAGAAGGACGAATAACAGTAAAAAAACGCATCGAAAGTGCTGATGGTGTTATCGCGTTCTTACCATCCGGTAACCAAAGCGCCACTAGCGACGGTAAAACCGTCGTCAGCGGAACGCACCGTCGCCTAACGCCATGCGACAATGGAAGCGACCCTCGCGACGATGGAACACCATGCCTTGAAATCCCCTCGCGACGATGGAAGCGCCGCTTGCGAAGACTCGAGTCAAGCGTCGCTAAAGGGAACGCGAAGTTCCGCGCGGGAGAGTCGCCATGCGACGGAAATCGCCGCCGTCGTCGTTCAGAGAGGGCTCATCGCAGACGGTCGTTGGGCTCTCAAGATGGTCGCCTGCAGGGGTCAACGAAAAACGCGTTAGTATGATTCCCATCAGAAAATATTGAAAGCTTAGAAACAGAGAAAGTAAAAAAAAGCGAAACGCTTCACGCGTAAAAAACGAAAGGGCTCTAAAACGGAGCCGCACTTACCTTCATTGTGGTGAGGCTTGAAAAAGAACCTCACTGAAGTTCCGCGGGACGGGATAGTCGTCATGCGAATCGCCGCGGTCGTCGTTGAGTGAGAGCTTGGACCGTCGTCGTTGAGAGAGAGCTCGTGCGATTGAAGGTTCGTCGGTTTCGACATTCAAGGTGGTCATCGCAGATGGTCGCTGGGCTCTCAAGATGGTCGCCTGCAGGGTCAACAAAAAACGCATTAATATAATTCCCCTCAGAAGATATTAGAAGCTTAGAAAGCGGCAATGTTTAAGAAAAGCGCGAAAGTAGAAAAGAGTTCAAAGAGACTGCACTTACGCCAAGCGTCTTCATCTCTTCGTGAAGACGTGAAGACTTGACGCGCAACAGCGGCGAGGACGGGGAGAAACGCCATCAAAGGCTCCATCGGTCTTGTCTTTGGCTCTCAAGTCTTGACTTGGACTTGGAAGCGTCGAGACGGTCGGCTCTCGGGTCGTTGGCCTCTCAGAACGGAAAGGTTGTCGCCTGCAGGGAAAGCGAAAAAAAAGGCTTTAACAAAACTCTTTCCAGAAGAATATCAAAGCTTCGAAGCAGAAGAAGTGTAATGCAAAGCTTATTTAGAGGATAACCAAGTATGTAAGAAGACTGTACTTACGTCAAAGCGTCTTCATTTTGGCGTGAAGCCGTGAAGAGCTGACGCGCCGCAACGGCGAGGACGGGGAGAAACGCCGTCGAAGACAACATCGGTCTTGACGTGGTTGAATGGCGCTCTGGTCGTTGGGCTCTGATCCAGCTTTGGCTGCTCCCCGTGAAGAATTCTCCGTGCATTCTCGTCGCGTACTGAAGATCTCGCCGCGTACTGAAGATCTCGCCGCGTACTGAGAATATTGCTGTGACGAGTTCACGAGAAGGCTATCGCGGTGAAGGTGTTGCCGCGACAACCAACCAACCCAGGGCGTCGTACAAGGTTCCGACCAAGGCACGCAAGCAGCTCGCTAGACTCTCTAAACTACCCAACCCACCCCACCCACGACTTCTAAACTACTCTACGCTACCTCAGCGCTGCTGCATGCCTGGTGTTTCCCCTTGTACTAGCCGGGTGGCTTCATGTAGAACGGACTGCTCCGTGGAGCAAGTAGCTTGAAGTCCGTATTAGAGAGCTCGTAAGGAAAGAGCTTCTCTGAACATTCCTTCGATGAGATCGTGAAGGAAAAATAATGCGAAAATGGACTCAGCCGTGGGACTATACCAGGTTTCGGTGGAAAGAATGAGCTGAGAGCAGAGCAGGAAAGATGCGTCTGCTGGAGGAAGGAGTAGCCGCCTTGATTTGCGCTTTGTGTTTGGTGCTTGCCGCCTCCCGCAGCGCGTTTCCAAATGAAATGTGATGGGTTGCTGGGTACAGAGGGATGCGACACGGCGCGGCTGCTTTTGTGCCCTGTGAAGTGCGGGAAAATTGTATCAGGTGGGTTGCAGGACATAATTTGAATGGATGATGGTGATGAAGACCGTAGCCGCCGCCAACGGCGGGGATTCGTTCGAGCTGTGCGATTGGTAAAATGAATTCGCGGTTTGGAAGTGTGAAAAGCGGCCGAGATGTGTACAGTAACAAGCAAACTGCCTTGCATAACATCTAAAAAGTCTCAAATTCAAATTCGGAATGTACAGAGTCTGGTTATTCGGTTGGGTTTGGTTGTGCTGAGGCAAACGAATCATCTCAGGGCGCGTACTGTTTGTGGAAAGGTCTGGTTGTGCTTAGAGCTGGGGCAGGAAGATACATTTTTTAGGAGGAGACTGACGTGGCACTTACTGTTGAATCGAGAAGTTGAGTTATTTAGTGAGGCTAGCGTGAGGTGCGGGATGGTGTTGAACTGGGCTAAATGATTTATTCGGCTGAAGTCTCGCGAGGTTTAGCTGCTCTCGCAACTCCCTTTGCTGACTGCGAACCAAATTGGGGCAGCTGAAATAGCGAGGGGTGGTTGAGGGAAAATCACGCGAGCGAATAGGAATCGAGGGAGGCACAACCACCACGCCACATCAACCACCCTTCTTTAGCTCCTCCATATTCTCCCGTCATCATCCTTTCTTGGTTTCCAGTCTGTTAGATCTAAGGCGTTACCACCGCCTCTTGGTTTATCATCCCGCACAGTTGACTATTAGTCGTGTTTACTATTAGTTATTTGACGTAGTGAGGTAAGAACCGCCAGTGATTAATGCTAGCATCGGCTTCAAGTAGTTACCGCCAATTGCGGACATCAGATATTTGTTAGTCGCCAGTAGTCGGTACAAATTTTAAATTCTTATATATTACCGCAGTTTTACCGTCAATTTGCGGACGAATAATTATTGTTAATCTGCGCATGTTGATTCGCGAGCACGCTCCCATGCAGACACATCAGATGCTTCGGTTCGTGCCCATTAGCGTCGCCGATACCGCCTACCCGATTTCGTTAAGCAGGTGATTAAGCGGAGGCGTAAATGACGGCGTTGCCACCCCGAAACGGTAGAAGAAATGGAAGGAGAAAGGTAAGAGACGTGGGTGTGTTGCGAGGTACGGAATGCGGGAAAGTGGGGGGAGGAGAGAGAAGGACGGGGGGTGGGGGGAGGAGAGGAGTGGGGAGGGGGGGGATCGAAGGACATCCCTCATCTTGTCCCGCTCTCGCCTTATTTTCTCCCGCTCTCGCCTCATCCCTTTCCCCTCCGCTCTCTGCTCATTCCCCCCGCTCTCCCCTCGTTCCCTTCTCGCTCTCATCTCATTTCCCCCCTTCTCTTCCCTCAACTTCCCCTCCTCTTTCCCCATATAACCTACTCCCGGATCTCCTTTCTCCTTCTCCTGCTCACCCCTCATCACCCTCTCTCTCGCCCCTCATCTCCCCCGCTCTCCCCTCTTCTCCTTTCTCGCCCATCTCTCATTCCACCTCCACTCCCCCCCACCTCCCCCCACTTACCCCGCGTTTCTCCCCCGATCCGCTCACCTTCTTGCCACTCACACCCCTCATCTTCTCCCCTCGTGGCATAGCAACAGGGGGATGGAGTGGTGGAACAGCCGCCAGTGCTGCGACCAGGGGTATCATTTGAGTACACGTATGTCTGCCCTCTAGACACTCGCAAGGTAGCCATGGTAAGTGCTACCACCACTGCCACCACTCACTGCTGCCTCTGCTTGCCCTGCCAATGCTCCTCTCTGCTTGCCCAGTTTCCATTTTTTGCTTCACCATTTTATCAAAAGTCAGTGCAGCGGCGGGAGCAGCATTGTCTATCGAGGCTGCTACAAACAAGAACGAGATGGAGAAGTGGCGAGAAGTGCAAGTTCGGGATTCGTAAGCCCATTGCGATCAAAATACACGCTGATCCTTGTAACAGAGGCGTGTTGCACCGCACTGCACCGCACTGGAGTGCGCGTGATTGCGTCTGCACTGAAGGTGTGACTGATAAGAGATGTAGGAGCACGCCCTTACAAATGCTGCTTTGTTGTGTTAAGATGTGCAATCCACCAATATGTTTGTATCCTGAAGTATAAAGTGAGCTACTGATTTGCTGCAGAAAATTAAGTTTTATGAGCATTTCTACAAGACAATAGCAACTTGAATCTCGATAAAACTTAGAATCACGCAGTCATGGGGTCTTGTTGGTTCCTATAGTGTAGCTATAAACAATCACTGCACTGTGCACCGACCGTATGAAGGGGAGAGATACGTGAATGAGAGGCCGGGCGGAATGGAAGTACAGGGGAATGCCTGGGAGACGGAGAATGCAGGTGAAGAGCAGAGGGGGGGAGACGAGAGGGCGAGTGGAGGGATGGGAGCTGAGGAGATGGGGATGGGCGAGAGGAGGGTTGTTGGGAGGGCAAGGGGAGGGAGGGGAAGTGGAGGGAAGCGAGGGAAAAGGCGGGTCCAGGGGAAGGAGAGCGGGACTTGAGCTGCGCCATGGTGTGAAGGAGAGAGTGCTTGAGTGATGCTATGCGGCTGGCCCTTTGCGCAAGCTGCATGCAGGGAACAAACAAGTCAAGGGACGAAAGGGAGGGGAAAAATAGGAACAGAGGGAGAGCAGGGGTTAGGAGGGAGAGGGAGAGCGGGACTTGAGCTGAGCCATCATATGGAGCTCCATCAAAGGGACTGCTGGAGTGATGTTTGAGACGTCTCAAAAGAGGGAGAGGGAGAGCGGAACTTGAGCTGAGCCATCATATGGAGCTCCATCTAAGGGACTGCTGGAGTGATGCGATGTGGCCAGCCCTTTGAGCAAGCTGCATGCAGGGAACGGGGAGGGGAAAATGAGACACGCAAGGCACGGAGAGGGAGAGCGGGACTTGAGCTGAGCCATGGTGTGAAGGAGCGACTGCTTGGGTGATGCTATGCGGCTGGCCCTTTGAGCAAGCTGCATGGAGGGAACGAGGAGAGGGGAAGGATAGGCACAGAAAGAGATCTGGGGTTAGGAGGGAGAGCTGGAGGGAGAGCGGGAGGGAGAGCAAGAGGGAGAACAGGAGGGAGAGCGGGAGGGAGAGCAGGAGGGAGAGCGGGAGGGAGAGTGGGACTTGAGCTGAGCCATGGTGTGAAGGAGCAACTGCTTGAGTGATGCTATGTGGTTGGCCCTTTGAGCAAGCTGCGTAAAGGGAACGGGGAGGGGCAAATGAGACACACAAGGCAAGGAGAGAGGGAGAGCGGGACTTGAGCTGAGCGCGACTGTTTGAGTGATGCAATGCGGTTTGCCCTTTGAGCAAGCTGCATGGAGGGGACGGGGAGAGGGAAGGACAGGCACAGAAAGAGATCCGGGGTTAGGGCGGAGAGCAGGAGAGGGAGAGCAGGAAGGGGAGGGAGAGCGAGAGTTGAGCTGCGCCATGGTGTGGAGCAGTGACTGTTTGAGTGGTGCGATGCGGTTGGCCCTTTGAGCAAGCTGCAGGGAGAGTGAAGTATAGGTACATAACGAAAGCTGGGGTTAGGGCGGAGAGGAGGGGGAGGGAGAGGGAGAGTTGAGCTGCGCCATGGTGTGGAGCAGTGACTGTTTGAGTGGTGCAATGCGGTTGGCCCTTTGAGCAAGCAAGCTGCATGCAGGGAGTCAAAGGGTGAACAGACACAGAAGGCCTCCTTTTTCTCCAAACAAATGAAATACTCAACCCACCTGATCCTTCAGACTTGTAATATCTCCTCGCAGCTCCCCCGACTGCTGCATCAACTCGTCATCCCAATCCAGGTCCCTCCATTCCCGTGCCCCCTCTCTCTCGCCTCCTCCACTATCCCGTACTTCCTTCTCTCTTTCACCACCCGCCTCCTCTGCCCCTTCTTCCCCTTCTGCCCCATCTGCTTCCTCGGACCTGCTTTCTCCAAGCTTTGTTTCCTCTAGATCTGCCTCCTGAGTCTCTTTCAAACCTCCCAATCCTTGCTCCCCCTGCCTCCCCAAATGCTGACGCTCCTGCTGCTGCAGCCTCAGAGCAGCAGCCAGTGCGTGGCACGACTCCATCTGTTGCCCCAGCAGCCGCCGCAGCTCCTCGATCTGCCCCTGCTGCCGAGCCACCAGCTCCTGAGAGTGAACGGACAGGAATTCAAAGGGAACAACACAAGTCAGCACGGGTAAGACAAGAGCAGCAGCCAGTGCGTGGCACGCCTCCATTTGCTGCCCTAACAGCCACCGAAGCTCCTCGATCTGCCCCTGCTGCCGCGACACGAGCTCCTGAAAGGGGTGGGAAGGAAGGGGAAGTTGTAAGGGAACAACACAAGGCAGCAGTGCAGCACGGGTCGAGCAGCCAGTGCATGCCATGGCTCCATCTGTGTGTGTTGCTGACCAGGTGGCAGCATGGCGGCAGGTGGAGCATAAAAAATCACCCAAGGCCCACTCACACAGGCATCAAGTGAGTGTTCTAAAAACGCTGGGAAAATAAACAATCTACTCACTAATGTCTCAAAGCAGGCTTTAGCCTGAAGGCAGGGTGGGAACCTACCCGGAGATCACTGCTTGATGCTGCGCTGCCAGCATGAGCATGCAGACATGATTCTTCACACACTCACCACCAAGGTCCCAATGCAATGACATGGTGTTACGGCCTTTTGCCTCAAGGCAGGAGGTAACCTACCCGGAGGTCGCTGCTTGATGCTGGGCTGCCAGCAAGAGCATGCTGACACGTGGCATGAGGCCAGGCCAGTGCTGCGCCACGTGGAGAGGCCGACGCTGTGCCACGTGGACGTGCTGAGTCTGTGCCACGTGGAGAGGCCAACAGTGCGCCACGTGGCATGCATCCATCCTCCTCGGACTCGTTCATGTCGATGCACGATGATCCCATAAAGTCAATCGTGTGTTGGTGTTGAGACTCCTTAGAGCATCCCGCCACGCCCACACTCAGTCTCAGCCAATCAATCGACCCCTCATCTCTTCCCCTTTCTCCCTCCTCACTTCCCTTCATCCCATCCTCTCCCTCTTCCTCCCCCTCATCTCCCTCCTTCCCTATCCCCGTCCTCCTCCTCGCTGCCTCCTGTCCCCCCGGTTCTCTCTCCAACCCCTCTTTTATATCACCACCTAGCGCTCCTTTGCCCTCTCTCCATCCTCCTCCCTGTCCTCCTCCACGCCCTAGTGACAAAACAGTGAGATCTGAGTCCTCACGCTCAGCAGAATAAGGCTTTAACGATTTTCCACTCTCGGACTCCCCACAACGTGCATCCATGTCCAAGGGACCTTCTCTGCTGCTTCCATCACCACCTCCCTCATCAAAACCCCTCGCACTGCCCTCCCCTCTCCTGCTTCTCACACTGCTACTCCTGCTGCCGCTGCTGCTGCTGCTGCTGCTGTTGCTGCTACCCTCCCTGCTGCTGCGCCCTCTGTCACTCTCGCTGCTACTGCACCCTCTGCTGCTGCCCGCGCCACTGCTGCACCTCCCCCCCTTTATCAGACCCATCCTCCCCTCCCTACTGCTCTCCCCCACACTCTCCCTCATACTCTCCCTCACACTCTCCCCCTCGTTCCACCCACTCCACCTGCTTCCCACGCTCTCCCATGCTCCTGCTCCTGCTCCTGCTCTCGCCGCCCTGGCCCAGGGGAGACTGTGTGTCTCGTGCCCAGACACCCAAGTCTCAATCTGCTGCTGCTGTGGCTGAAACTGCTGCTGCTGCTGCTGCTGATGGTGCTGCTGATGGTGCTGCTGTGGCTGAAACTGCTGCTGCTGCTGCTGATGGTGCTGCTGTGACTGAAACTGATGCGGCTGCTGCTCCGAAGGGTGCAATCTGGGGCTCCAGTCTTGGGGCATGAGTGAGATAGGCGAGAACCGATGCTGCTGCTGCTGCTGATGGTGCTGGTGGCGCTGCTGCTGCTGCTCCTGCTGTTGTTGCTGCTGCTGTCCCGTTTCCAGTCTCTCCTGCTGCTGCTCCTGCTGCTCCTGTCCCCGCTGCTCCTGCTGCTGCCCTTCATTCCCAGTCAACCCAGTGGTCTTCTCTTCAGTCAGACTCACGCTGCTACCCCTAATCCCTGCTTCGCTAACAACCTCCTCGAAAACGTCACAATCTGTCCCCTTTCCTTCCCACGTCAGAGCTGATTCGAAAACCGTCAAGGAACCAGACCTTGCTTCGCTAGCAGCATCCTCAAATACCGCACACTCTAACCCCTCCCTTTCCCACCCTCCACCTTCTCCTCCCTCTCTCTCCTTCTCCACTCTCCCCTCTTCACCCCTCCCTCCCTCACCCCTCCTTTCCTCAACCCTCCCCTCCTTCCCAGACCTCCTCTCCTCTTCTACCTTCCCTTCTCCTTCAACAGCATTTTCTCCCACCTCCCCCTCTGCACCTCCTTCCCTCCCTTCTCCTCCCTCATCCTCCCTCCCACCCAGCCCCCCTTCACTCCACTTCCTTCCGCCCTCCTCTCCTCCCTCCCTCTCTCCCTCCCCTGTCACCTCCCCCGCACCACCAGTCCTGCCAGAACTCATCTCCGCTTCAAAGGACCCCAGGAACCCCACCAGTGAAACAGAAACCCCTTCTGCTACCACTCTTGTACCTACCACTGCACCCCCTTGCGCCATACCACCCTCTCCCGCTGCCGACTCGTTAGTGGACGACTCAATATCAGTGAGATCCGGCATACCAAAGCCCGAATTTTCCACACGTCTCCCCCCTTGAAACCAATTTGCGGACACTCCCCACGGCCCTGATCCATAGATACACGGAGCATCAACGTTCCCAGCTGGACCAAACTCTCCCTGTGTCTCCCCAGTCATCTCAGAACCTTCCTCTAGGATGCTGGGGAGGGCGGCAGACAAGCGCCGATCTCCCCGCACCCTCTGAATCACATCAAGCTCTTCATGTGAATCACCATAGAGAGACCTATTCTCACCCTCCCTACGGCAACTCTGCGTTCCCTCCACAAACTCTTTCTCAGGCGTCTCGAAACTCTGACTCCCCTCCTGAAACCGATTCTGACACGTCTCAAAACTCAGGCTACCCTCCAAAAACTCCTCTCCGCACTCCCCAGCCATCCACTTGCCACTGCTTTCTCTCGTCTCAATCATCCAACCACCAGTGTGGTCCCCACCGTCACCCACCCACCTGCGTGTGCTCTCCCCTGGTCGCATGTCCCAACCGCCTGTGCTTCCCTCCCCGTCACCCACCCACCTGCGTGTGCTCTCCCCACTGTCACCCACCCACCTGCGTGTGCTCTCCCCCGGGCCAAACACCCAATCCAGCACCAGTCGGTCCATCCCAGCCCTCGCTGCACACCTCTCCAGCTCCACCGCTGCTGCTGCCGCCGCCGCCGCTGCTGCTGCTGCTCCTGCAGCGGCTGCTGCCTCGTCCTTTTCAGCTGACGCTCGTGCCACGCTTACTATCCCTCCTGTTGCTTCTGCTGTCTCTGATGCTGCAGCTGCCTCTGCTTCTCCTGCCTCTGCTGCTGCCGCCCATTGCATGTTAAGGCGGTTCGCTGCTGGCCCATGCATGCCACGCTGCTGCCTTCGCCTCACACGTTCCCCATGCACCCCATGCTGCATCCCATGCACCCCATGCTGCATCCCATGCACCCCATGCTGCATCCCATGCACCCCATGCTGCATCCCATGCACCCCATGCTGCATCCCATGCACCCCATGCTGCATCCCATGCACCCCATGCTGCATCCCATGCACCCCATGCTGCATCCCATGCACCCCATGCTGCATCCCATGCTCCCCATGCATCAAACCCACTCCACGCCTCCCATGCACCCCATGCATGTCATGCATTCCATGCTCCCCATGCACCCCATGCATGTCGTGCATCCCATGCTCCCCATGCATGTCGTGCATCCCATGCTCCCCATGCACCCCATGCATGTCGTGCATCCCATGCTCCCCATGCATGTCGTGCATCCCATGCTCCCCATGCACCCCATGCATGTCGTGCATCCCATGCTCCCCATGCACCCCATACATCCCATGCTCCCCATGCCTCCTCTCTCCTCTTACCCCACCCATCACTCTCCCCCTCTTCTCACAGCAGCACACACACGGACTACTACCCGAGTGGTCCCTTAACCATGCCTCAGATTCGCCAAGTCCCTTAAGCCCTTTCCTGCGGCTCTCTCGAGTTCTCTCACAGCCTCCACGTGGCAGGCCACGATTGGCAGCTTCTGCATGCGAGCACTCGCCAGCCCCTGCCTCCCCGTCCTTGTAGCGAAACCACGCGCCTTGCACCCCCTCGTGCTCCTTATAACGAGTCAATCTCTGCTGCTCTTCCCCGAGGTCCTTAAATCGAGTCATTGCGTGCCCCTCTTCCTCTCGGTCCTTATAACGAGTCACTGCGTGCTTCTCTCCCTCACGATCCTTGTAATGAGTCAGGGCGCCTTCCATGAGATGCAGAGATGCCACCCACGCCACTGCCTTGGCCGCCACGATGCATGCATAGGCGCGCTGGGAGGGGAGAGCGCAGAGGAATAGGGGGATGGGAGGCGGTAAGATAACACCCTCGCCACCGCCTTGGCAGCAACGATACACGCATAGGCGCGCTGGGAGGGGAGAGCGCAGGGGACACGGATGGGAGGGAGTTGAGAAGACAAGGTGAGAAAATTCGGGCATTGGGAATGGGAGGGCGAGGGGGGAGCAGAGGGACGCGGAGAGAGACAGAGAGTTGGAGAGAGAGAGAGAGTTGGAGAGAAACAGAGAGTTGGAGAGAGAGAGAGTTGGAGAGAGACAGAGAGTTGGAGAGAGACAGAGAGTTGGAGAGAGACAGAGAGTTGGAGAGAGACAGAGAGGTGGAGAGAGAGAGAGAGTTGGAGAGAGACAGAGAGTTGGAGAGAGACAGAGAGTTGGAGAGAGACAGAGAGTTGGAGAGAGACAGAGAGTTGGAGAGAGACAGAGAGTTGGAGAGAGACAGAGAGTTGGAGAGAGACAGAGAGTTGGAGAGAGACAGAGAGTTGGAGAGAGACAGAGAGTTGGAGAGAGACAGAGAGTTGGAGAGAGACAGAGAGTTGGAGAGAGACAGAGAGTTGGAGAGAGACAGAGAGTTGGAGAGAGACAGAGAGTTGGAGAGAGACAGAGAGTTGGAGAGAGAGAGAGAGAGTTGGAGAGAGACAGAGAGTTGGAGAGAGAAAGAGAGTTGGAGAGAGACAGAGAGTTGGAGAGAGACAGAGAGTTGGAGAGAGAGAGTTGGAGAGAGACAGAGAGTTGGAGAGAGAGAGAGAGTTGGAGAGAGACAGAGAGGTGGAGAGAGACAGAGAGTTGGAGAGAGACAGAGAGTTGGAGAGAGACAGAGAGTTGGAGAGAGACAGAGAGTTGGAGAGAGACAGAGAGGTGGAGAGAGAGAGAGAGTAGGAGAGAGACAGAGAGTTGGAGAGAGACAGAGAGTTGGAGAGAGAGAGAGAGTTGGAGAGAGAGAGAGAGTTGGAGAGAGAGAGAGAGTTGGAGAGAGACAGAGAGTTGGAGAGAGACAGAGAGGTGGAGAGAGACAGAGAGTTGGAGAGAGACAGAGAGTTGGAGAGAGACAGAGAGTTGGAGAGAGACAGAGAGTTGGAGAGAGAGAGAGAGAGTTGGAGAGAGACAGAGAGTTGGAGAGAGACAGAGAGTTGGAGAGAGACAGAGAGTTGGAGAGAGACAGAGAGTTGGAGAGAGAGAGAGAGTTGGAGAGAGACAGAGAGTTGGAGAGAGACAGAGAGTTGGAGAGAGAGAGAGAGTTGGAGAGAGACAGAGAGTTGGAGAGAGACAGAGAGTTGGAGAGAGAGAGAGAGTTGGAGAGAGACAGAGAGTTGGAGAGAGAGAGAGAGTTGGAGAGAGACAGAGAGTTGGAGAGAGACAGAGAGTTGGAGAGAGACAGAGAGTTGGAGAGAGACAGAGAGTTGGAGAGAGACAGAGAGTTGGAGAGAGACAGAGAGTTGGAGAGAGAGAGAGAGAGTTGGAGAGAGAGAGAGAGTTGGAGAGAGACAGAGAGTTGGAGAGAGACAGAGAGTTGGAGAGAGAGAGAGAGTTGGAGAGAGACAGAGAGTTGGAGAGAGAGAGAGAGTTGGAGAGAGAGAGAGAGTTGGAGAGAGACAGAGAGTTGGAGAGAGAGAGAGAGAGTTGGAGAGAGAGAGAGAGTTGGAGAGAGAGAGAGAGTTGGAGAGAGAGAGAGAGTTGGAGAGAGACAGAGAGTTGGAGAGAGACAGAGAGTTGGAGAGAGACAGAGAGTTGGAGAGAGACAGAGAGTTGGAGAGAGACAGAAAGGTGGAGAGAGCGATATAGATTGGGGGGAGGAGGGAGCAAAAGAGGGAGGAAGGAAGGACGAGAAGCACGGAGTGAAGGAGGAGGGACACAGAGGGAGTAAGGAGAGAAAGATTGAGGAAGAGAGATGCGGGTATGGAGGGGAAAAGAGAGCTAAACCAAGAAAGATAAGGGGGAAAGGTGCGGAGGGGGCGGAGTTGAAGGGAGTTCTCACCACACACACGCGAGCCTCAGCACTTACGCAGAGGGCGGATGCCACGTGGCAGGGAGAGCGCCATATCATGCTTAAAACGAACGATCTGGACCTATCTGCCGCTCCCGTTAAGCTCTCCCCCGTTATAAGAGACTCCAAAAAAGCCCTCTCCATTCTACCCCCATCGCTCCACCATTTGTTAGAGTCACCAAAGCCACAGCCACCAACGTCATCACTGACGTTACCATCCACGTCATCACCAACGCCATAACACAAGCTCCCACCATCTCCACCCTCCCATCCTGCGCCTCTCACTCCCTCCAAGTCCCACAAATCCCCTCCTCTCCCCACACCCCATGCCTCCAACCCGGCAGGTACGGCAAGATCCATGCCTGCCACCAGCCTCGGCATTCCCAAGGCACTGATGCTTTGGCTGCTGTTGCCGCTGATACCAGTGATGCCAGTACCAGCGCCCCTGATACCACTGATATCACTCATTCGCCTGCGAAAGTAACCATACTCGTGTCTCTTCGCCCGGTCCGCTAGTTCCGCCTCGCCCGGATTCCCTGCCGTATCCGCGTATTCGTTGTGACTCGTCCCCGTCGCTGTAAGCGAAACGGAGCGCACGATACCGCGTCCAGGAGGCCGGCTCCTGGCCGTATCTGCACCTTCCGCAGGACCCCAACTTCCCAAGTCCGCATTCTCGCTATTCGCTCCTAGCGCGTCCGCATTCCCGCTATTCGCACCTAGCGCTGACGCTGCTGACGCTGCTGTGCTGCCTCTCTCCACGCATCCTTTCTGCTCCGCAACTGGGTTTGAGATCCCGGAATTTACGGGTTCGCTGCGCTTACCCACCAATCCACGCACAGGGAAGAAATGCTTCAGCTTGCTAAAGAACCCGCGACCTGAGGGCCGGACTTTCCACTCCGTTTGAGTGCCGTTGCTTGTTCCTGTAGCGAGAGAAGTATTAGCGAGAGGCGAAGGAATTTCTGTCGGCTTTCCTTGTTCGTGCTGATGTGGACGCTGATGCTGCTGACGTGGATGCTGGTGATGCTGTTGGTTCTGGGGATTACGGTGCGCCTGAGCGATCTTCGCTGACCGCGGTTCGCTCCCTAGTTTACCCGCGGGTTGCGTTGTCAGGTTCGTTCGGTCAGCCAGCGGGTTTGGTTTCCGCGATCCGTCTGCTGTGGAGCTCTGAGGATTGCTGTTGCTGGAAAGACCATGATTCGAGTGACTGTGACCGGAGTGATTATGATGAGAGCTGTGGGCAGGGTGACAGCAACCGGTGCTCTTACCGGAAGCTCCAGGCCCAAAAAAGCCGGGAACCATACCAGGAATTTGGCCGTAAAGCGCGCTGCTACTGTAGCAACTATTGGACGGACAGTCTTCCCGCACGCGGCAAAAGGGGAACGACGCGCCGTCGATACTCTCGAGGCGGCTCGGAGAGGGGAATTCCCGAGGCGGGAATTCTTGATGAGGGTCCAGGACCGCGCTGCTCTTGCGACGCTCTCTTGTAACGAATCGAGCGCTACATGTGACTGTAACGGGATCGAGCACCGTGAGGCGGTGCTCTTGGCCTGAGTCAAGGGTCGCCATAACAAGCAACGAAGAAGCAGCTGACGGGAAATATGATGTTCAGTTGCTGCTTCACCAACCTTAACCTTAGCCGCAGTCTAAGGAGGCCTAGAAAGAATACTGTCAGAAAAAGGAATCCGTTAACGCCGGGGAACACTAGTGTGGGCGCGCTAAAGCCATGGCGCCACGGCTGCAGCTGAGGAACACTACTATTTCTCAACGTTGAAGCTTCACACCTCTCGAGTCTTCTTGATCAAACTAGTGCGCAGGGGTGACTGGAGGAAGTGATACTGTTGAGCTCGACGGTTGCGTACGATGCTGTGCATTGTAAAACGGTTCCCAACATATTTTCACCGCTACTCACCTTTCTGAACATTGAAACGGAATTCGTGAAGGAACCTTTTTACCTGGGATGGGAAGGAGCGCTTTCTGCCAATCACGAAAGCGATGCGGGACGAATTTTCAAGGTGTCTGCAGCAGCCATGTTTCTGATTGGCTTGGCTGGCGGATGTTGCGAGGTTGAATTGTTGCAGACTGAACTAAACGGAACGACAGGAGGCAATTTCAACGGTGGCGGGAAACTGACTGTCAGACAGTGCAGGGCTGGCATTGCGCGCCAGAAGTGTACAGAACCAGAACCACGAAAATAGCAGGACCACGTAACCACAATCGTAACTGTTTCGTGGCCATGCGAGTGTCGCGAAAGCACATCCACAACAGCGAAGGACTGGGCCTAAGAGCAATCAGCCCAAGTCCAACCCGCTTTAGCACGGACAAACACACAACACCACTGACAGCTACCAGCATGTTTTCATATGGATTCTTGGTGCATTTCTGTGTTTAAGTAACATCCACTGCCATTGTTGTTGCCATGCTAGCTCATTGCATATAACCGAATGGGCCACCACAAATCATACCACCACACATCACTACGAACTGACGAACAACTTCCTTCTACACACTACTTAACAATGCGACCAGCTTTCGAAGCTAGCAAACCAGCCGGAGAGGTGCGGACAAGTTTGGAAGTGTGAAGGTGGAGGAGCGATCTGATGGTGGTGGAGCGAGCCAGAGGTTGATCATGGTGATGACAGGTATGTGCATGGATTGCAGTTTGGATGTGCTATGTCATGGTGCTGTTGGGGAAACGGGAGGAGGGCACAGGCAGTGAAAAGAACAAGTTGAACAGTGAGAAAGAGCGAGAGGCCAAGCGAAGAGAAGGTTGGATGGGGCCTGAAAATCAATGGGGCCTGAAAATCAATGGTGACTGTGCGATTGATGGCAGGAAAAGAGCAGGAGGGGTGGAGAGCGAGGAGCAAGAGCCGTTGCATCACAAGGGGACAGCAGTACAGATTTACAGAACAGAAAAAAGGGAGGGAGAAGGTGGAGCGCGGAGGGAGTGGGGGAGGGGGGTATTGGGTGGTTCATAAGGACAAAATTGTCATAAGCAAAGATGCAATTCAGACCGTCATACCTAGGGTGCAGAAGCACACAGCGTCGCAGCATTTACTTCTCAGACGAGTTAGGGCCGCGCTTCTTGCCGAATCCCACCACTGCACGGCGGAGGGAGGGGAAGATGGCAGGGGGGAGACGGAGAAACGAGACGGAAAGAGGTAGGAGATTGTCAAGGCACACAAGCAGCACTCAGCGTTGTTTCTTGTGATTGTAGACCCACGCTGATTTGCCAAATTCCAACCAGTGTAAGACAGAAAGAGGCGATAGGGAGAGGGAGAGGAGGGTGAGCTGGCGGGCGTGAGAAGGCAGAACGAGCAGTAGAGGTAGTTCGCCGCCCACGATCCTGGTTACATAGGCTCACGCCTTACGCTCGTAACACAGGCTCGCTTTTGACAAAGGTCATGCCTCACGCCCAAACCACACGCTCGTAATATAGGATTGTAACGAGGAGTTTCAGTACCGCACCCCCAATCTCTCCCAATAATAGGCTAGCCCTACTTGACGTCGCCAGAAATGCGAAATTGCTGTGACCCTGCGCGACGCTGCTGCGACTCCTGAGCGAAAACGCTCCTAAATGGATCGCTGCCCTGTCGCCAAGTACGACGAAACACAATTCAAACCCTCGTTGGAGGGTAAAAATAACTAATTTGACTCCCTCAGCTTGCGCCTGCGCGATCTGACGTTATTGAAGGCCGCATCTGTCGTTTCAGCAAAGCCGACATCTGACCTAATCAGGCCGTTGCTGCTGCTAGAAGGAGCAGCAAGCGCTCCCCTCTGACCGCAGCGCTCCCTCAAACGAAAGTTAAGCAGTGGCACCCCAAGCGAAGGTGACTACAACGGGTGTGCGCATACCGGCGGTGACGAGCGGTTGTACTGCATGCGCTTGTGCGCTTGCCTGTAGGGACGACAACAGGTGCGCGCTAGCCTGCAGTGACTATAAAGGGTGCGCGCGTACCGGCGGTGACGAAGCGGCGGCGCTAGCCTGCAGTGTAGTCAACGTCTGCCTTGAGTCGACTCAAAACACGTACCAGCGGTGACGAAGCGACGGTTGTACTGCATGCGCTTGTGCGCGCGGCCCTTGGGCTGCTTCTTCTTGTCCTGCTTCTCCACCTTGGGCGTCTGCCCGCGCACCTTACCGGCACGCGCCAACGATCCGTGCACCTTACCTGCGCGCAAGTGCGGGGGGGGGAGGGAAATGGGAGCACAGGTAGTGGGGATTAGAGGGGAACAGGATCAGAACTGCTACTCCACCTTACCGGCCCGCGCCAACGATCCGTGCACCTTACCTGCGCGCAAACGCGGCGGAGAAGGCGAAGGGGATCAGGGGTGGCGGGGGGGGGGAAGAAGGGGGAGAAATGAACACGAGCCCGAAGCAGGGGAACGGGAGATGGGAACACAGGTATTTGGGATGGGGGGGGAACAAGAGAACAATTGTCCTGCGCGTCGGGCGTGTGTCCGCGCAACTTGCCGGCGCGGGCCAATAATCCGTGCACGTTACCACTGAAGGGAGTACGGGGAAGGACGGAGAGGTTGAAGGGGAGGGGGGGGCGAAGGAAAGCGTTGAGTGGGTATGGGAAACGAAATGGAGGGGAGTTGTGAGAGATGTTGGCCCTAAAACACCAGGGGGTGGAGGGAAGTAGGGGAAAGATGCGAGTGTTTAAGTTTAATGGGCGTCTTCCCTTGGCAACGCGCTTTTAGGGTTAGGAAAAAACAAAGCCGTGGACCGACTCCCAAGTTGTCTCTCTAAGGCGAGGGAGTCGGTCCACCGGGGAGAGGACGACGACGGCGACTACAGGAAGACGGTCGACACAGGAAGACCACGAAACGACAGAAAGAATTCGGAGTGGATTGACATGACAGATCGCACGAGAGAACGCCGCTGAACGACTGGACACGATCGCCAGGGATAGCTCTAGAAGGATAACAGCTCTGATACGGACCGAATGAGATCCATTCTTAATGCTGCGGTAAGCTTGGTGGAAAGAGGTCAATATATGGCAAGAGGTGAATGTAGACACGAGCATCAACTTCGGCGACACAGAAACGAGTGAACTACCCAATCAGCCAGCGATTCCGACATCAGGCACATACTAGGTCAGGGTTTCTGGTTTAATAACACGATTCACCTCTCAACCAATTTGCTACAAGACAAATACTGACTGCCTCTAAAAGGGATTTAACTCACTCATGGTGAGAAGTAGAGTCGCGACGTCGCAAGCAACGAAGGGAGCGGCGGCACGGGAGTGCAACGAGCTTAGGGGAGGAGACTAAAGCCGCGAAAAGAGATCTTGGAAAGAGGAGTGGGTGGAAAATAAGACGAGGTGAGAAAGCCAGAGTAGGGGCGCGTGCGGAGGTTGAGAACGCACTGGCGCGCGGAAAAGCGCAGACAAGCGCGGAGGTGGTGGAACGGGGGAGGGAGTTGTTGCGGAAAATACCTAGGATCTGGGCGGAAAAGTAACACGGGGTGTGAAAGGGGGAAATTGTACATAGACATCTAGGGGTTTGGGGGAGGGTGTTCGAGGTTGATAGCGGGTGGCGGAAGCAATGTTTATACTCGTTACAGATGGATGCTTTTGCAAGTAGTATCAGAGTGTAGTGTAATCTTAGCATGTATGCAAAAAGTTGCTTTCGATGTTATTGATGTGTACTGATGTCTGCCAAGATTATCCATCAGCGAAGGTACCAATATCTGCTCGAGAATCGGATAGTCACCGCTCTGCACCGTATGGTAGCCCACTGTGACACAAAATACCACGTACAACGCCTTTTAAAGTACAGACTTTGGACTCGTCGGGGCTGGACGTACCACCACAACCCTCGTGTTTGTACGTTTCCCTGATGCTGCGCAACCATGCCTTGGTCGCCTTGCGTTGCGGTTTCTTTTGCACACATATCAGTTCTGAAATCGTACCATTTCGGTGACTCGGTGACTCGATGCGCTGTGCTCGGGGAAACCAAGGTTCGGCTGACGAGGAAAATTAGGCAAGACTTTTTGCCAAGACTCTTCGAATTATCGGTGTCTCTAGTAATTTTTGCTGATTGGAATCTGTTTTTGGTTTAACCAGGACGCGACTCGGTAACGCCTAGAGCAGCTTGACTAGCGAGGACGGGGGCGGTTATAAGGCAGAATTGGTACACTCTATCGAAAGCACCGTACGACGTCTTGAACGCCAGCAGTCGCAAACGCGCGACGCCTTGAACGCCTGCAGTCGCAAACGCGGGACGCCTTGAACGCCAGTAGTCGCTAACGCGCGGTGGGAAGCGGATGGGTTCCCGCGACGACGGCGGGGATCCGCAGAGCACAGGCGGAGGCGCAACGCTGTGGGGAAAGCTGGAGGAGACATGCAGGTGTGTGGTGGGGGGGAGGAGAGTGGGTTAGGGGAATGGTGGGGAAGATGGGTTGGGGGAAAGGGGAGGGGGAGGTTGCGCGGCGACACTTTCCTGGAACTACATTCACCCTCTCCTCCCCCCTCACGCGCTCCCCCCCCCGCTCCTTGGCTTGAGAAGCCCCCTGGCAAGCCCAGGCCTCACGTGGTGCAATTCCATCTGAAAAAGGCGATCCGTACCTGTGCCGAACCACCTCAATTGTCCCCTCTCAGGTATTACACGGGCCTTCCCAAGCCTCGCGTGGAGGCTCGGGTGGTGGAGTTCCGATCCGAGAGGCAGTTTGTGTCGCTGCTGCAGCAGGGGAAGCCGGTCGCCGTGGCCTTCACCTTTTCGTGAGTCTGGCGTATTAGGGGAGTTTGGCGCGAGTTTGGCACGAGTTTGGCACGAGTTTGGCACGAGTTTGGCACGAGTTTGGCATGAGTTTGGCACGAGTTTGGCACGAGTTTGGCACGAGTTTGGCACGAGTTTGGCACGAGTTTGGCACGAGTTTGGCACGAGTTTGGCACGAGTTTGGCACGAGGTCCCAATACTGCAGCAGGCCAGACAGTTGTGGGTGGGCAGGGCAGTTGGTGTCGCTGCTGCAGCAGGGGACGACAGTGGCCGTGGCCTTCACCTTTTCGTGAGTGCCCTTGAGTTTCTCACGTGCCTTATTCGCACCTTCACCTTTGTGTGGTGCCACTGGCTTGGTGCCGCTGAAACGCACCAGAAACGTAGGTGATGCCACTGCTGTGGGTGGCCAGTTCGTGTCGGCGCTGCAGCAAGGGAAGCTAGTGGCCGTGGCTTGCACCTTTTCGTGAGTCTGGCGTATCAGGCGAGTCTGATTGCAGAGGGATTTCTTCTGTTTCATCAGGCAGGCAGGTGTGGGTGGGCAGTTTGTGTCGCTGCTGCAGCAGGGGAAGCCGTTCGCCGTGGCATTCACCTTCAGACAGGCGTGTGCTGATTCTGACAGGCGTGTGCTGATTCCGACAGGCGTGTGCTGATTCCGACAGGCGTGTGCTGATTCCGACAGGCGTGTGCTGATTCTGACAGGCGTGTGCTGATTCAGACAGGCGTGTGCTGAGCATGCACTGGCTGGCTCTACCACCCTTCCCCCTGTATCCTCAGCAGCGTTTCCTCGTTCGTCCCGGAGGTAACGGATCGGATTGAGTCAACTTAAAGCGCTTTTGACATTTTTGGGGACTCAGAGATTCTCACTTCTCAACGCAAGCGCTTCGGTGTTCACGTCTGATATATTTCTGGAACTCTTCTCGCATTCGCTTATAAGCCCTCTTCGTGTTCCTGTGCTTTCCTCCTCTTCCCGCCCTTGTCTCTGTGGCACACATGCAAGAATTTCGAAAAGTCATATTTGCATCTTCCTCCTCTGCCCTCTCCTTTCCGCCCGGCAGCTGTGCACACACTCGTCACTTTGACGAGATGTTTCGACAAGCGTCGGCTGACCTCCACCCGCATGTCAACTTTATCCGAGTAATTATGCTGCTCACCCCATGTCGCTTATGCTGCTCCACCCATGCTGCACCGCATGCCGCTCAACCATGCTGCTCCTCCCATACTGCTCCCACCAAGCTGCATCCCCCATGCTGCTTCCCCCATGCTGCTCCCCCCATGCTGCTCCCCCCATGCTGCTCCCACCAAGCTGCATCCCCCATGCTGCTCCCCCCATGCTGCTGCTTCCTCCAATGCCACTCCCCCCATGCTGCTTCCCCCATGCTGCTCCCCCTTGCTGCTCCTCCCATGCTGCTTCCCCCATGCTCTCCCCATGCTGCTCCCCCCATCGTGCTGCTCCCCCCATCATGCTGCTCCCCATGCAACCTGCTCTGTGCGCTGATGATCATGGCATGGCAGTCACGCACAGTCGTGCCTGCAGTCACTGCCCGTCCTTTTAAAACATCTACTCTCTCTCGTGGCTCCTTGGCGTGACGATCGCACGATGAGGCACATGGAGCCTCGCATTCTCCTCTATGTTGGTGACTTTTGAGTCGATCAAAAGTCACCTCCTTGGCGCGACGATCGCACGATGAGGCACATGGAGCCTCGCATTCTCCTCTATGTTGGTGACTTTTGAGTCGATCAAAAGTCACCTCCTTGGCGCGACGATCGCATGATGAGGCACATGGAGCCTCGCATTCTCCTCTATGTTGGTGACTTTTGAGTCGATCAAAAGTCACCTCCTTGGCGCGACGATCGCACGATGAGGCACATGGAGCCTCGCATTCTCCTGTGTGTTGGTTTTTGCAGCTCAAGAACATGGCTTTCTGGCATGGCTGCTGGCATGGCTGCTGGCAGGTGGATTGCCCCAGGCACCTTGGCTTCTGCATTGCCCGGCAGCGCAAGGACTACCCCTTGTGTGTTTTGAGTCGACTCAAATCACTACACTCTCTGCTGGCATGGCTGCTGGGATGTTTGATGGCATGGCTGGTGGCATTGCTGCCGGCATGGCTGCTGGCATGTGTGTGGCATGACTGGTGGCATTACCGGCAGGTGGATTGCCCCAAGCACCTTGGCTTCTGCATCGCTTGACAGCGCAAGGACTACCCCTTGTGTGTTTTGAGTCGACTCAAATCACAACTCTCTCTGATGGCATGGCTTCTGACATGGCTGCTGGCATGTATGTGTCATGTCTCGTGACATTACCGGCAGGTGGATTGCCCCAAGCACCTTGGCTTCTGCATCGCTCGACAGCGCAAGGACTACCCCTTTATAGAGGTCTTCTATAACTCGAAAGAGGCGCAGCCGCAGCGGGACCCGACTCCCCCTGCGGGCGGAGCTACAGGAGCAGCAGGAGTGGTTCGCTACAGTGTCATGGTTCTGCCCGTAAGTCATATGAAGTATGGTCTGTATCTGGTAACCTATGCTGGTCCAATGTATGATTTTCTTCTAGTAGCGACCTAGTTGTTTTCCTGCTTCTTGTATGGTAAGTGTTTGTAACATAGCTGTCCATATTCGTCTCGTTTGTTGAAAGGACTGGTTTTGCCGCTGTGTCGCGGGCCTTTATTACGTCCTTTGCATCTCTGTGGTTACTATCATTTGCCTTATTTCCATTTTCCCCTTTTCCCCTTTTCGTGGATTTTGACAAATGCAGTACAACTATGACGTTAGCACTTATGGTTTTAGAGAATTCTTCAAGAAGCATCAGTTAATTTCTCCTATTTTCTTGAAACATAATAAAGGTATTCATAATTTCAGTCAGTGACAACTGTAAATTGCTCATTGAGTCAGCCTTGCATTTGTATACCACCACTAGTGCTGATTGATTTATGTTTCGGTATGGCAATCTCTGGGAGTAATAGGAATTAGTTTATTCCCTCCACTAAATCTCAATCGAGGTGCTTATTATAAAGACAGCTGCAAAACACTTGCAGCGCACGTCATGCTGACAGTCAGTGCGACATCAATCACTCGCGTAATTGGTCACCAAAGAGAGCAGTGCGTGCTTCTAGGTGGAACTTGGCTGTGCGATATTTTCAGGCTCATCGTACGGCGCGATGCGATGGCAACAGATGTGGTTTGCCCATCGCTTGTGAAGCATCCTCCCGTTGCTTCATTGGTTGTTGACCCCCCACCTCGACGTGACCGGCACATCAGTGACCATGCGACACATCGGCGTCGCCACTACCATACGTGCGACCCATGCCCCACGGCGTCGTCTTGTGGGCATGTCTCTCGTGGTCACCTCTAGTGCGACTCGCTTCGGCTGCTGCAAGAGTGCTGCACGGAGGGGCATTTGTTCTCTCGGTCTGCCCTGCGAATGGGCGGGCAGCGCTGCGGCTGCGCCTCGTTCTGTCGCGGCGGCACCTGCTTGATGCACGCTGGCGCAAGCTGATTCGTCCGCGCAAGCCAGCACGTTCCGCCCGCAATATCTTGAAACCCTCATCTGCGGAACCTGTCGCAATGGCTGCACGGAACTTTGAATCCTTTCCGCATGTGGCTTACCCCAAACCGGGCAGCCTAGCGCAGCAAGAAATTATGAACTTGCCCGAAACGAAACAAAGAAGCTTCTGAGTGGAGCGGAGTTTTTCTGAGCGCCTGACCTTTCAAACTCCCACACCTGCTTTCTGATCAACCCGTGACATTTCCACCCGAATTTGAATATTGGTTAGCTCGGAATTTGTTCCGATCCGCCCCACATTTGTTGAAAGAGATAGGTAACGTCGCTGGTGAGCAGAGGTCACTGCGGACGGAACGTGCGCGGAGTGCGTGCGACAAGTCAACCCAGCGATGCACACTGAACAGGCGAGACGACCAGAGCAGACGACCAGAGCGTAGAACAGGAGAGAGAAGCAGCAGCCGCGAGGAAACGAAGCGGAAGGCCCAAAAGGCCCCAGAAAGCGTCCAACTGCGTGAACGACTTCGTCCCACGGCCAAGGATTAGAGGTCTAATAGAACTGCCTACCTCCCACCGCTGCTGCTGCTGTTGCTAGGGTTTCGTTAGCTCGTGAGGCCAGCCGTTTCGCGTTACAAGATTTAGTGCGTTAATACCTAGATTTTTTCTTGTCAGCCTCTGCAAATGCAATGGCGACATGTTGACCAGAACCGATTGCACCAGGTTTCCCGCGTGCTAACACGCATGGGCCTTTAGATGGACATTCAAGAGGCGTCCAAAATCCTCTACTCTCGACTGCAAACACTCGAAGGAGGCAACGCGTCGAAGCTACTCGGGTGGATGCTCATGCGCGAGAATGCCGACCAGGACTTAGCGGCGCTCGCGAAAGGCTCCGACGCGCAGCTCATGTCGGCCATTGGGATCGCGAAGCGGAACCTCAGCGTGTACTCGTCCATACCGGGATGGCAACACCAGGTACGCGGGCTTTCCCTTTTGACGCGCCTCGAAAGTCATGTCCGTTGGGTCTATGAAGCGAATTTTTAGTGTGTGCTCGTCCTTAGGAGGATGTCACCACCAGTTGACCCCTTAGTCCACCTTTTCCGTTTTCTCTCGCGTTTCTCGTTTTTTTCTTCTTTTTGGCACGGAAACTGGAGCCCCGAAATCTCGGTGCCAGTAAATCGTGGCAGGCGCTTTAATCCGCGAGACCGTTCTAAAGCAGTGTTTTGTTATTCTGCCTGGGGGGGCGTGCATTGGGGGGGCGCTACAGGGGGTTCTGGCGGAAATCCGGCTTCAACAGGAGAGCGCGGCGTGCGTTGCGCGACAACGAACCGCCGCCGCTCAGTCCTTCGCTCACCAGGCCCACCCGGCTTCCACAGACAGGTACTTATCATCTTCTGTTTTTGGATTACTACGCAAGTTCTCAAACCGCAGCGACTTATTTGTTTGTTTGTTTGTTTTTTATTATGCTTTTCTTTTTTCTTTTTATGCTGACAGACTTTATTCTCTTTCAACCTGCCAGCTCTGTCAACCTCCCCCCTGAACTTCCCGTGGCCCCTATAACTTACCATGGCATGCTCGTCCCGTTGTCTTTTTGTTTTTGTTTTCTTATTTTTCTCGGTTGGATTTTTTTCTCTCTCGCTCTTCTCTCTTTCCCGTTTCCCGCGCCAGGCTTCCTCATTCCGACCGTTTCTCTTCCCCAACGGAAACAGCCCTCGCGTCGCTCTCCCCCAATACGCCCCTCGCTGAACCAACCGACTCTGCCGCCGCCGCTGTTGCTTCCGGAGATGCTGCTGCTGCTCCGGCGGGAGCGCGACCAATCCCCACGGATGCCCCAGCAATTCCCCACCTGACCGCACTTCACGGCGCAAGTGGCGCTGCGAGCGACTACGGCTCGTCGCCTGAGAGTTCGCAGTCTTTCATGTTCAAGCGATGCCATTATTTCGCACGCGGATTCTGCAAGCATGGAAGCGCGTGTCGCTTCCTGCACGCGTCGCACGGCCAGTCGGCGACGGCGCCCGTGTCGTCGCCGGGGTCGCCCAGTGCGACGAGTTCGGACGGCATGATGGCGGCTGCGACGTACCCCGAGCCGCAAGGCGCGGAAGAGACTGCTGCTTTGAGCTGCACGGCCGCGAGCGGCGGCGGCGACGAAACTGGTGTTGATGCCAGTAACGCCAGCGGGAACGGCGGTAATGGTGGAGATTCCTTTGCTGGCAGCACCGCCGCAACCGGCGGCGGCGGTAGCGGTGGTGGTGTGGCCGGGACTGTTGCTGGCGGGCTCGTGGGCGGCAGCCCGGGATCTGCGGCGGGTTTCACGCTGGAGCGGCTCGAGGCGGAGCTTCACGACTTGCTTAGAGAGCACAAGGGGCCTATCCACGTGGCATCGCTTCCACAGCTGTACGCGGAGCGGTTCGGGAAGCCGTTGCAAGCGGAGGGGTACCTAACTGAGAGCCAGCGGCAGGGGCGGCCCGGACTAAGTCTAACTAAGTTACTCGCGCAGATGAAATCGTCGATCGCGTTCGTCGATAGGCCGAGCGGGCAGCGCGCGATAGTTCTCAAGGGGTCGCCGATTCTGGAGGAATCTAAAAAGTTTATATCGTTCAAGGAGCGGATTTGGCGCCGCCAAGTCCGGGGTCGCGGCAGATTTATCTCACTTTTCCCGCCGAGAGCACGTTCACGGAGGATGACGTGGCAGCCCATTTCAGGTACACGTGGCAGCCGTAGAGCACATCTCTCTTCCCCCTCCTATCTGGGCTTTATTCCTCTCCCCCCCCGCCGCCATTTCCCCCCTTCTATCTTCCCCTCTGCTTACTCCTACACCCAACCTCTCCCCCTTTCCCTTCCCCCGCCTTTCTCCCCCCCTGCGCGCAGCAAGTTCGGGCCAGTCCACGAGGTGCGCGTGCCACATCAGCAGAAGCGCATGTTCGGATTCGTCACGTTCGCTTTCGCGCACAGCGTGAAAGCAATTCTCGAGGAGGGTAACCCGCACCACATCGGCGGCTCGCGCGTGCTCGTCAAGCCGTACCGCGAGAAATCGCGCCACGGCAGCGCCGCCACGACCGCGCACGGGGACCGGAAGACGCGCACGGGTGCGGACCGCGGCGCGCAGGTGTCGCCCGCGAAAGGCGGCATGGAGTCTTATTCAGGTAATGTGCTATCTTTGTGCAGTTGCTTCCTCATGCTCTAAGTGGAGTACGCTTACCTTCATCGTTTGCGACTGTTATCGCATTTGTTACAATTCATCGTCTGCATTTGTTACACGTTCAGTACTGTACTCATTTGTGTTATCTCTGTTATACATTTGTTGTCTGTTTCTCTGGTTGCAGACGATTCTCCCCCGCCGCCCCTTCCCAAGGCGTCGAAGCGACTCTTTCCCGCCAAGAATGTTCTTCAGCAGCCGCAGCAGCGGCCGTTGCAGCAGCCACGTCAGCACCAGCCGCAACCGCCGCCGCCGCCGCAGCAGCATCAAGCAGACGAAGGGGAGGAGCAGCAATCAACACAGCAAGGGCAGCAGCAGCAGCAACCGCATGACCAGCAGCAGCAGCAGCAGCGTCAGCTGCAGCAGCAATCTCGTCTGGAAGGCGGGTGGGGGAGCGATCACAGCCGTCCGATTCACCACCACGTGTCAGCCTCATACGAAGCATCTCAATACGGCTCCCCGTCTCCCTCCCCTTCCCCTTCGCCTGCCGCGGCCGCCGCCGCCGCTGCTGCTGCTGGCACTCCGGGTGGTGCCACTGGTGTATCTTCCTTTGGCCCCCCCTCTCCCTACGCTCGTACCCCCTCCTCTATCTATGCGTCTGCGTCTGCGTCCGCCTCTCTGTCGTTCTCCTCGGCGTATTCGCCGTCTTCAGCGGCTGTTGCGGCTGCTGCCGCAGCAGCTTCCGCGGCCGTGTATGACGCGCCGCCCAGGCGCAAGAGCTTGTATCAGTCGCTGTCGTTTCAGGAGGCAGCTTCGCAGCAGCTTCCGCAGCACGCATGGCAGCACCGGCAGCACCATTACCACCATCACCTGCAGCAGCATCAAGAGGAGCAGCTGGGAGGGCACGAGCACTGGCAGGTGCGACTTCAGCAGCAGCAGCAGCAGCAGCAGCAGCAACAGCAACAGCAGCAGCGGCAGCAGCAGCAACAGCAACAGCAGCAGCGGCAAGAGGAGCAGCAGCAGGGGGCAAGCGAGGGGCAGTGGCAGGTGCGGCAGCGGCTGCAGCAGTGGCAGGAGGAGAACTCTCGGCAATCCCTAGGGCTGGGCGGAATTGCTCTGGGGGACGTGGGGCGGGCCTTTTCCGGCAGTGACGTGGATGCCTTGCGGGGCGCAAGGGGCGTGGGGGGCGTGGGGGGCGTGGGGGGCGCGGGGGGCGTGGGGAGCGCGGGGGGCGTGGGGGGCATGGAGGGCGCGGGGGGCGTGGGGGGCATGGGGGGAATGGGGGGAAAAGGTATGGGTGGTATGGGCGGCAGTATTGGAATGGGGGGAATGGGCGGGATGGGTGGTGGTGGTGGTACGGACGAGCACCTTTTCAAGCCCTCCTCTCTCGGCCTCGCCTCTTCCTCCTTCTCCTCCTCCTTCGCCTCCTCCATCTCGTCAGGTTTGACCGGATTCGCCTCTGCTCGCACTCCCATGGATCACTCTTTCTCCTTCGCCTCCTCCTCCCTCTCGTCTCTCTCCTCTCTCCCCGGCTATGGCGCCGCAACTACCACCACTACAGCCCACTTTCCACACGGTGAGAGTTTATGTCCTAGTGTTCTGGTGTCTTTTGAGTCGACTCAAAAGAGTTTATGTCCTAGTGTTCTGGTGTCTTTTGAGTCGACTCAAAAGAGTTTATGTCCTAGTGTTCTGGTGTCGCCTCGTGCTCCCACTTGTCCCTCTCGTGTGCCTTTCCTCTCTTCCCGGCTATGGCGTCTCAAAGAGGCAGCTCACGCCTGTCCGACCCAACTCCCGCCTCCCGCTTCTCTCCCCTCCCCCTTGCTGCGTTTCCCCCTGGTCGTTGCAAACAGGCGATGCAGCCCGTCAAGGCCTTCCTCAAACGCCCACACACCGGCAGCTCGATGACGTCTTGTGATGCAACTTACCTCTGTCCGATCCCTTTTTTCCCGGCCCGTGTCTCCCCTTGTTGTCGCGTCCCCAACAGGCGATGCAGCCCCTGAAGGTCTTCCTCAAACACCCACACACCGGCAGCTCGATGACGTCTTGTAAGCTCGCCCCCCCCCCCGTCCCACGCTCCTCCGCTGCTCCCTTCATCTCCTCTCCGTTTCTTTCACCCAGCGGCTGTTCTCGCTTCTGCCAAACAGTCCCTTCACGTCCTCCGTAATGGCCCAAGGCTCATCTGTTCTCCCCTCCCCCCACCCCCCCCGCCCCCCCCCCCCCCCCCCCCCCCGCCCTCTTCTCCCCAAACTATTCCCCGTTTCCATTCTACCCCCCGTTCCTGCAGCGATCTGCACTCGCTTCTCCCTGACAGCCCCTTCACGTCCCCCCTAATGACCAGCACCGCCAGCAGCGCCAGCACCATCACTAGAGACAAAAAGCAAGACCTCTTGCCGCCCGCTGCTGTGCTCACAGCTGGATCCGCCGCAGAGTGGGACGACGCAGACCGCCCGGAACCCATTCGTTCTTTGTCCTCTTCTGCATCTTCTGCCGCCCTCTCGAGGTTCTTCAACCCGTCGCTTTCGACCTCTCTTGCCCCTCCCCCTTCCCCTCCTCCGCCTCCACCTCCTCTTGATCACCTTCATATTCAGCATCAAAATCAGCAGCAGCAGCATCAGTTGCAGCAGCAGCAGATTCTGCCTGCTGCCATCCGTCGTGCATCGTTCGGTGGGGTTTCTACTGCTGCTGCCTCCTCCCTTGCTCCTGCTGCTCCGTTTTCTGCAAGTGCCTTCCCCCCTGTCGGCTCTATACAGCAGCAGCAGCAGCAGCAGCAGCAGCAGCAGCAGCAGCAGCAGCAGCAGCAGCAGCAGCAGCAGCAGCAGCAGCAGCAGCAGCAGCAGCAGCAGCAGCAGCAGCAGCAGCAGCAGCAGCAGCAGCAGCAGCAGCAGCAGCAGCAGGTCTCAGGCATTGCATCCCTGTGGGGACACACAGTGGGGGCAGAGGCAGCAGCGGGGGACGCAGCGACGCAGATTACTGCTTCTATTGGGGAACTCAGTATGGGGGATACACAGCAGCAGCAGCAGCAGCAGCAGCAGCAGCCGCGGGAGGAGCATGGGAGGGTGGTGGCGAGCGTGTGGGGTCACACATGCGACTCCTGCTCTGGTGAGTAGAGCCGCCTGCTCTGGTGAGTAGAGCCGCCTGCTCTGGTGAGTAGAGCCGCCTGCTCTGGTGAGTAGAGCCGCCTGCTCTGGTGAGTAGAGCCGCCTGCTCTGGTGAGTAGAGCCGCCTGCTCTGGTGAGTAGAGCCGCCTGCTCTGGTGAGTAGAGCCGCCTGCTCTGGTGAGTAGAGCCGCCTGCTCTGGTGAGTAGAGCCGCCTGCTCTGGTGAGTAGAGCCGCCTGCTCTGGTGAGTAGAGCCGCCTGCTCTGGTGAGTAGAGCCGCCTGCTCTGGTGAGTAGAGCCGCCTGCTCTGGTGAGTAGAGCCGCCTGCTCTGGTGAGTAGAGCCGCCTGCTCTGGTGAGTAGAGCCGCCTGCTCTGGTGAGTAGAGCCGCCTGCTCTGGTGAGTAGAGCCGCCTGCTCTGGTGAGTAGAGCCGCCTGCTCTGGTGAGTAGAGCCGCCTGCTCTGGTGAGTAGAGCCGCCTGCTCTGGTGAGTAGAGCCGCCTGCTCTGGTGAGTAGAGCCGCCTGCTCTGGTGAGTAGAGCCGCCTGCTCTGGTGAGTAGAGCCGCCTGCTCTGGTGAGTAGAGCCGCCTGCTCTGGTGAGTAGAGCCGCCTGCTCTGGTGAGTAGAGCCGCCTGCTCTGGTGAGTAGAGCCGCCTGCTCTGGTGAGTAGAGCCGCCTGCTCTGGTGAGTAGAGCCGCCTGCTCTGGTGAGTAGAGCCGCCTGCTCTGGTGAGTAGAGCCGCCTGCTCTGGTGAGTAGAGCCGCCTGCTCTGGTGAGTAGAGCCGCCTGCTCTGGTGAGTAGAGCCGCCTGCTCTGGTGAGTAGAGCCGCCTGCTCTGGTGAGTAGAGCCGCCTGCTCTGGTGAGTAGAGCCGCCTGCTCTGGTAAGTAGAGCCTCCCCTGGCCCCAGCCTATGGTGCGTCACCTTTTGATTCTCCCGCCGTCCCGGCTTTTGTTGTGTCACCTGTTCTTTTCTTACTCCTGTTTCCCTTCTCTAATATTCCCTCCCCCTGCCTGTCCGGATGCGCCCTCCCCCAGAGGCGGCCTACACCATGCAGCTGGCATGCGGGCACTACCACTGCAGCAAGTGCGCCCCTCAGGTGAGAAGAGGAAGGGGTTGAGAGGGGTTGGAGGTGGTTGGAGGGGGTTTGATGGGGCTGGGGGGTGAATTCCAGAGGTGCATTTAATGGCAGCACCTTCCAGCCATTTTTCTTGCTGTTAATGCCCCCTTTCCCTCCCCTGTTTTTTATTCTTTATCGTGGCCCAAGTTTTCTCCTTTGTGTGGTGTTGTGTGTCAGCACCAATGCCTACCAGCTAGCTCTCTTGTTTACGAGCCTTCTTTCCCTCTTATCTTGGTCTAATGCTTCCTCTTTCCCATGCCCCACGTTCCTCGTGGTGTGTTGCGTGTGTCAACACACCGCCTACTGCCTTCCTTCGATGCTCATATCATATCCCTCTCCTTCCCTGCACTCCCTTTCCTGTTGTTCCCCACGTCTTCACCCATTCACAGGGCCCCTCGTCATCGTGTGTTGTGTGTCAGCACACTTTTGAGTCGACTCAAAAGCCCCTCGTCATGGTGTGTCTGCTTGAGTCGACTCAAAAGCCCCTCGTCATGGTGTGTTGTGTGTCAGCACACTGCCTACCAGCCTGTGTGCTCTTTGCTCATATGCCTCCCCTTCTCGCTCCTGTTGTCCATGTCTCCACCCCCACCCCATGACAGGGTCCCTCCTCGTGGTGTGTTGTGTGTCAGCACACTGCCTACCAACCCCCTTCCTCTTACCTCGTTGCACAAACTTCTTGGAAGGTTCCCACCCAAGAATCTGCATGGAAGGTTCCTGCTCAGGAAGCTGCCTGGAAGGTTGCTTCGTTGCAGCTGCAGCCACGCAGCAACAGATCTCCATCCTGGTGAGAGGAGGTGATAGGAGGGAAGAGGAGGAGGAGAGGAGTTGCTTTGGCAGCAGTGATTATTCAACGTCCCAGCTCTTGGGGCGTCTTTTGAGACGTCTCAAAAGGCTCTTGGGGCGTTGGGGTGATGACCATTAGAGTATGCAATAGGGATCACTGGGATAGGCAACAAAGTTCGATGGGTGATAGGCGACAGGAGTGATTGTGACAGTGGAAAGCAGTCATGATGCTGCAGGAGAGACAGGATAGCTGTGATGGCAGAAGCAGCAGCAGCAGAAGCAGCAGCAGCAGCAGAAGCAGCAGAAGCAGCAGAAGCAGAACGGCAGCAAAGGGGTTGGGGAACGTTGGTGACGCGGGATCAGTACACAGGTTCGCGCTCAGTCTCTATACGGCTCCATTTCCCTCGGCTCGTAGTCTCTACATTGCATCACCCTTGGCAGTCTGTCTCTATACAGTCTGTCTCTATATGGGGACATCGGATCAGTTCTCAGCTCCCGTTCGCGCTCAGTCTCTATACGGCTGCATTTCCCTCGGCTCGTAGTCTCTACAGTGCATCACTCTCGGCAGCCTCTCTCTATACGTTTTTTGCCTTGCCCGACAGTTTTGACACACACACACGGTCTTTCAACAGAACCCACTTGGAGATGCTGAGTGCACCTGGAGGGGGGGGAGGGAGGGGATGGGCATGGAATCAAGATTGGATGGTGCTCTTTTAACGTCGGCGCACGGGAGGGATTGGTTACCCGAGGAGGCTTGTTTTGAGTCGACTAAAAAAACGTCGGTTGGCTACCCGGTGAGACGTCGCCCACATACTGCAAGAGGATGCCAGGAACTTGGCTACCCGACTTGGCTATACTGCAATTATAAGAAGATGCGCTGGAAGAGGGTGTGGCTATAAAGAGGCAGGCGCTGTTTTGAAGATGCCGACAGGTGTTCAGCTTGAAGATACCAATATGGTGAATATTCACTCCCCTCCCTCCGTCCCTGTCCCTTTCCCCTTACCTTCTCTCCCTCCCCCCTTCCCTTCTCCCTTACTTCTCAACGCAATGACGAGCATTCTTGGCATCACCCGTTTCATTGGTCTCCATGTCCCCATGTGACAAGATGTGGGTGTGTTCGAGAATTGAGATGTGCATGGCGCACATATTAGGCTGGCACCCGTTTCATGGTCTCCATGTCCCCACGTGACATGGTGTGGGTGTGTTCAAGAAATGCGCGTGGCGCACGCAACAATTTAGGCAGGTGCAAGCAATAATTTATAGATTGGGAATGTAGCTCGTTAGGAGTTGACAAAACCCACCATTTAAGATAGGCCTAGGACGCGGGACAAGATAACTGTAGGTCCCTTTACCACATACCTAGAAATTAATTTGAACTGCACGCTTTGATGCTGATGTGGCTAGCTTAGGCACTAGATGTAGCATTGAATTGAAACTAATTTATGCCCTTCAGTTCAAACTACATTTGTTTCAACTGAGCATGAGTTGTTACCATACCTACTTGAAACCTGAAACATCAAAACACACCATGGGTTGCTGCTTAGGTTAGCTCTGCAGGAGATCAATTCAGGAAGGGGCAACAGGGTAAATCTGTGCACCATAAACAACAATAAACAGGAATGCAGCTGACGCCATCGCACCGGTATTGTCCTGGCAACAAATAAATGAACAGGTTGGAGTCTTCAAGTCAAGCCGCCATTCCCCTCAAGTCATATCCTTGTGCAAGACAGGACCTTCTGCTAGGTAGTAGCAGCCGCTGATAACTGGTTCTATGAATCTGTGATTCAGCAATGGCACTACACCAAGAATAAAGTTGAGAGGAGGAACTGCTGCTGTCGCTGCAGTAACCAGGCAACCATCACTCCGATTCAGCCATGACAAGAGCTGGCTGTAACCTCCCAAGCCCGGCCTCTCTACCATTCCCCTAGTGCCTGGCATTCTTATGCTGCTGCTGGTGCTACTGCTTGGGCTGCTGCAAGCATTTTTCCAGAAACGCCTCCAGCTCTGCCGAGTAAATTTCCGGGAAGGTTCGGTAGTGGTCCACATGCGGTGAGGAGTCGAACCTCTTGAACATGACCGCGCACCCGCGCGATCTCTGCCGTTGGATGAACGACTCAACAGCCTCTGCGGGAATCACCGTGTCTGCTGTACTGTAGAGATACAGCTGCGGGCACTCGGGTTGCTCTGAGGCGAGCGTGCTTGTGACTGTATCGAGCTTGCTGTTATCGAGAATCCATGCAGGGAGAGAAAGTGGGAAAGGGGGGAGGATGCAGCAGGGTAGAATGGGAGCAGCGGAAGGAGGAATTTAGAGAACGGTTTGGAAATGGATGAGTGGAGAAGTGGGATGAGAAGGGGATCAGGGAATGGAGGGAGTCACTAGGAACAGCAATAATGGGAAACACAGCAGCAGTGACAGTTAAAATCCCGAGAGCCTCGGGATTTTAATCACTGCTGGCATTGATGTGAGCCTCGGGATTTTAAACACTGCTGGCATTGATGTGAGCCACCTGTGCTGTGATTCAGCAGCAGTGATTATGCAAGCTCACATCAATGCCAGCAATTGCATAAAGCTAAACTGTCAACAAACACAGGAAGACGTCTACAAGATGAGCAACTTGCAACATGAGATGAGGAAACTGAGACAATGCTGCATGACATCATGCATGCACAATGGCCAAAAGGGCAAGATGACATGATGTGATATGGCGTGATGTGACAGAACTTTATTGAACATGACGCGATGCAGCATGACACAATGCCTGCAAGTGATACGAGTATTAATGTACGTGCTTTATGCATGTCAGAGTTTCTCGAAGCATCAACTCACGTCTTGACAACTGGGAGCTGCAGCAACCACGTGAAGAACCTTCGCAGAACGTTCAGCAACGTCTTCTCCACCGCATCTTCTTCTGCTTTCACCACCTTCTTAACCCCCACTCCCTCCCCCGCTCGCTCTCCCGTCACACCACCCGCACTCCGCCTCCTCTCCTCCCTCTCCTCCACAACATCCATCTCAGCAGTGAGAGACGCGAAGCCTAGGGAACTGCGATGGTGGTGCTTCAGACCGTCGATCGCGGCGGGGCGAGTTTCATCTCTCGGCTGTGCCTCCCACTCGCCTCTATCCGTCACTCCCCATACCTTCCCATTCGCCTCCTTCTCAACCCCTTCAGCGCTCCCCTTCGCAGCGCCGCCGGCGGAGGACGACTCCGCCGCCGTGACTGCTGAGTCAGCAGCAGCGGAAGCTTCCGCAGTCGCCGAAACGTCCGCGCGCCCCGCGCGGGTGGCGGAGCTGCGCTTCTGCAAGATCGCAGCGGCGAACCCGCGCGCCCACACCTGCGGGTCCTGCTCCAGGATCGGCGCGGAATCCACGACGCATCCCTTAATCGCCGCGTCGATTGCAGGCTTGCCGTACTTATCATGCAGCCGATTAAGTACCGCTCCGTAGGTCAGCCAACCCGTGTTACTGAAAGTGTGGAACATCAGCGTGCGTGGCTCTTTTGGCTCTCCCTGACTCACGGGGGCTGACGTGGCGGATAAGGCCACCTCTGGACCAGCTCCCGAGAGCCACCTGTGCAGCTCGTCGACTAAACTGTCCACGTGGACTTCCGCCTTCTCCCCGGGTCGGATACTAAGGACGTCCTTAAACGGGATGACGAACGTGATTACGTCGAACCCGCGTGACGTGTACCACTCAGCGTACCGCCGCAAATGCTTCTGCTGCGCGCCGAGCCATCCTAGCAGCACCACAACCGGCTTCGTGGCTTCTGACGGCGGACCAGACCCGTCCAAATCACTAGCTACGCCGTCGCCGTTAGATCTGACGGCTGGCAGGTGCCACTGGTGGAAAGGCTTGGAAGAATGAACGTCGCCGTTAAACGGACCGGAGATCGGTAAAGATGACGGCGTTAGGGAGAAAATGTTTCCCAAGGGGAATCCAAAAGGGTTACCGCTCGGGTTACTACCATAGCTTGCTTCGATCGATCGCGACAATCGCGGAATCGGGAAGTGGGTCGACGATGCGATAAGACGGGAAAGCTGCTGACGTGAAGGCGTGAAAAAACGATTGGACTCTAACGCGTACGGAGTGGCCGATCCTGTAAACGTGCTGCCTAAACCTCTGTAGGATACTGGTGGTAGATGATAGGAGGCGGACGCGGCACGAAACGACATAGGAGAGGCGGCGGTGAGACTAGTTGCCGGGCAAAACGCGGAGGCGGTGGAGGAGGCGGCGGCGGAGGCGGCGGATTGGAGCATCACGGACGAAGCTATCCCTACCCCGGACGTCTTGAACCGCGATGCGGAAGGATCTGCTACGGCGTGCGTGAAGCGGTGGTGACCAGAGGTAGAGGGAGACGCGGCCATGGCGGAATGGACGAGCACGGCGGGGGTCGGAGCGGTGCGACGATCGGGGAGTTCGGAACTGACTGCTGCCGTGGCGACTGCTGCAGCCGCTGCTGCCGCTAGCGTCGGCGCGGCAGTTGTGGAAACCCGAACGACTAGCTGGCTAGCCATAGCCGATCGGGTCACGGTAAGAGTTGGTCGCGTAGCAAACACGAAGACGTCCGTCTCGCCTCTCGACTCACGATAGAATCAAAGCGGTACTTCCAAGAGCAGGGGTCTCACCAACCCTCCTCCGCGACCTCTCTGGCGTAGTTGACGGGACTCGAGCTGATCAAGGAGCAAGCTGACCAGCCTTGATTGATGCTTTTACTGCAGTGCAGGGTTATGGGCACAATTCTAATCACAAGGCAAACCTCGCCATGACTGTCCCCCCTCAGCGAGAATTGCTACATCGAGATTGGTTGGCGGGAAACCCTTGATTCTACGCCCTCATGCTTCGTCGCGGTCTCTGATGGGCCCATTTCATGGAAGGCGCTGGTGGTCGAACGGCTGTTGGAAATGGTGGCAAATCACAACTGCTGGGCCGTGGACACGTAAGCACGAGCCGACACTCATCCGAAGCTGTGGGCCAGGTGCTGGGGACCACCAATTGCTGACATGTACAGAACGCGGACTACCACGGCCGCACAAGTCTTGGAGCGGCTGGTGTGGGCGTTCTGACCTGGCTCATGTCTTTAAATGCGGAAAATGCTACACGTTGCTATTCAAATGTTGCAGATACGAAAATGCTGCATGCAACAGAAATAACCATGATAACAGATTGTTATTTGGCAAACTCAGCTGCCATCCTCTTGTGTACGGGAGCCTGCGTGAGCAGACATTGGTAGGAAGAACAGTAGTACTCTCATTCTGCTGTAACTAAACTCTAGCCACAAGGAGTGCATAAAGTGGAGGCAGGTGAGGAAGGCAGTGGATGGAGGCTACCACAGCCACCCATCCACCCATGCCCCTCTTTTCTACAATTTAACCATCATGCAGCGTAGATGAATTGTATGCAAATCAAACTCACCAAGGACGATGTCACATCCCGTGCTTCAACAGTACAGAAAAAAGAGATTCTGATTCATCACAGTTGGTTGACCAAAGACCTTACAAATCTCTACAGTGCTGTTCCTGTACAGTGGCACAGCACAATGCCCCCAAATGCTGCAGTCTTTCATTCAACTCCCTGCTGACATCTCGTTGATAACCTGGGTTTTCCTTCTGCGGCTAGGCTGCATAGTGCTCCGTCCCCTTCCCCCCCGAACCTGAAGAGCCGCAGCCACAGCACCTTCAACTGCAGCACCAGCAGCAGCTTCAGCCGCAGCAGCGCCTCGGTCTACAACATACCTTATCCGCTTCCTGCTGATCCTAAGACTCTCCTCATCCTTCCTGCTTCACTACCTGCACATGAACCCCGCCTGAAGGTCCTGACAATGCGCCTAGAGCGTGTGCTGCTGCAGCGTCTTCCTCCTCCCCATTTTCTGTAAGATCCACAACAATAAGAGTGCCGTCCTCTCCGCCTTGCACGAACGGCCCGACAATGAAAAATCCCCACCAGGCCACGAAAGCTGCGTCTTTTTCAGCGAGGCCTTTCGTCGGGCAGGAAATGCCAGAGTAGCTACCCCAATCGTTGGGTAACTCAACGGTGGTCGTGAACGAGGGGCAATGTGATGGTCCATAGCCGGCTGTCGTGTAGGCGGGCATGCCTTGCAACATGCGGCTGCAGTCGACTTGTAACAGGCCTTTCGCCTCCGCTTTCGCGATTTCCTTCGCCAGCTCTGCTACGCGGTCGGCGTCTGCAGGCGGGTGTGCGTCAGGACAGGAAACTTTTCCCAGTAACGCATTCCGAAACGCTGCTCGGTAGGCCAGTAGTTGCGCATCCTTCTTCTTAAAGCCGAGTGGCAGGTGCTCACCCCCAGGCATTCTGTCCCTGGAGATGACCTGGCAAGCTTCAGATCGCCCGCGGAAACTTTTGGAGCCAAAAATGACTTCGAAGTCCCAATTTAGTAGGTGAGCCGGACCTGTCGGGTTGATGGTGGTTGCCTGCGGTGGCTCCATGCCGAGAGCCGACGCGAGATTGTGTAACAACTGCTGGTACATTGTTACAGTATGAATGCTGGTCGAACGCAATGATTGCCTAGATGCCGTAATCGTGAAAGCTGAGAGCAATGACGCTCCGCGAATCGGACAAGGAGTCAGGATGAAAAGAGCCGCGATTCGAAATGTCCAATGATTCGACAACACTATAGCGAAGGGATGGAATTTGACCTTATCAATTTGTCGCATAAGGGTATACTTCTACCATGCTCGTACAAGCTCCCAATCAGCACGAACAAAGCAGTTTCAGTTTCCTCCAGCTGTGAGTGAGTGCAAACAGAAAATGGGGGATGCAACCTGGAAAGTGATGATGGGAGGGACGAGGACGGGGGAAAGGCGTGATACTAATGACTATCACGCCTCCCCCCCGTCTCCCGTCATCTCCGTTTGGTTGGGATGACGGAGTTAGGTATGGAGGTGGCTAGGGTAGGGTGTGGTGTGGTGATGACGTACATGCGGCAAGAAAATTGTGTAGGGCAACCTTCCGCTGTATAGAGCAGACCGCTTTAGAACATGGTTTCCAGCTGTATCTGTTCTCTGTAATGTATGCTGGCGGGCGAAAATGGGAAGGAAAACCTTGTAGAGATATCAGTTCTAATTTCTCCTCCTCTTTTCAAAAAGCAGTGTGAAAGTGGCGCCAGTCACTTTTTATGATTTCATGTCTGCCTCAAATAGTGGTCTTAATTGCGTCAATCCATGTTACTGGATTTTTTTCAATACAAATGCTGGTTTGTAATGAATTTCAAGTACTTGCTTATGATATACATCAATACGATTCTAACGTATCGAGGTGTATCACATGAGTTATTACTTCCAGCCGACTGCATTTCTGCTTCTGTAAATTTCCGCCCCGAAGGTGATTGTTTGGCTCAACCTCGTTGTAAGAGCACTTCACGTTGATGTCTTCCTGACCGCCCTCGGTAAGGTCGCACGCTTGGTTCACCCTGCACCGAGCCAGCCCTCACGACGTCCTGTCGACCTTCTGCGACCAATTACGACCGCGTTAGAGTGGCGTCCCAAGTGTGCTTCGTTTGCGGTCGCGATTCGTACTGGGGGAGCCGCCACACCATCACTAAACAATCTATCGCAGGAGGGCTCTTGCCAATCACAAACAGCCTTGAGATCACGGAAACCTTCGTGAGACTGTGCTTGAGGTCGTAGTAACACCTTCATCAGGACTTCGCTAAGGCAAAAACTGTTCTCCTATCCGATTCAGCCAGTCGCCAGGGCTGTACCTCAGGGCTTGAGTGAGCAAATGGCGGTCTCAAGGGTGTGAGCAACCGCATACCCATCTTGGCCGACACTTTGTGCGATTCTTGTATCCTCCTGGCGCCTGAGTAGGGGTCGCGCAAAGCTTGCCTACGAAGCGGATTGGGCTTCTAACAGACGATGGAAACAGCGACTGTCTACTTATCGCTCACGCGAAACCGAATCGCAGAAGGAGAGTTCACCCTGGGTCCGCTGATCGCCAAGCCCTTTCATTCCATTTCTTATTGATCAACACCCAAGGGGAAGCGTCGCCATGCGAAACTTGTAGTCGTAGGAACTCTTCTCAGTTTTGTTCGATCTCGTGGCTGCTGTTTGAGCGGCAAAGGGCGTGGAGAAACGGGATCGGTTGAAGCACTTTACACACCAAAGGCTAGGCGAGGATGAGCCAGAGCAGGCCCTAGGCGGCGGAGGCTGGGCTTGGCGTGTCAGCAGCTTCGGCAGCGTCGCGATCGAGGAATTTCCGAAGTCTCGGGAACGCCGCGTGCCAGCTCCGGAAACACCGAGGCTACAGAAACATACCTCTCCTCCCCTCACCAGTAGCCATGCTGACAACGGCTCTAACCGCCATTGCCACAGTTTGTTTCCACCCTCCCCGTCATCCGTCGCAAGCTCTCGCTCTACCTCGCCACTTTCCTCCTCCTCGTTGGCCTTCTCCATCCGCTGACCAGCTCGCTCGGTGACGGCTGGCTGCATGTCGTGTGGAATGGCATGCTAGCACCCACTTATCTCGCCACCGAGGTTGCCGGTCCGCTTGGCGCGCCGTCGATCGCGCAAGTCGTGATTTCGCTTGTTCTCTCGATTGTTCTGAGTGCGGGCTCGTCGACATCAGGGTCTATTCCTGAGATCTCGTTCAGGTTTGTGACGCCTGTGCTGCTGTATTTATCGTACTCCGCGCCGACGCTCGTCGCAGCGGCGACAGCGGCCGTCGCAACCGTCGCAACCGACGCGATCGGCGCTGATTGTGGCGATTCAGAGAAGCGTCTTGCGTCCGCGAAGCAGAATCAGCAACAGCAACAGGAGCTGCAGCAACTTAAGCAGAAGCAGGAGCAACAGGAAGCTGATCCAATGGCGAAAGCGCGAGCATCACCGCCGTGTTTGCCGCTCTTCAGCACTCCCTCATCAGCATCCTCCTCTTCCTCCTCTCTATCTAACCAGGAAAAGGCTAGCCTTTTAGACAGTAAGAGTGAGAGTGACAATCAGACTCAAAAGGAGAAGCCGCGCGTGATCGTCCATTATCCCTGCAGCAGCAATGCCGCGAATTGGCCCACAAACGGTCAAACAGAATCCTCTGTCAGCGATCCGTCCGGCACGGTCGCCACAGCAGCGGAACTTCCGCTGAAGATCGATGGCTCCGTTAACTTTTCCGTCCAGGGTCGGGGTGAGCGGACTGATTTCGTCAAGATCGATACTTTTCCGTCGGTTCCGTCAGTGACGCCGTTTTCCCTTAGCGGGACGCCTCCGCATCGTGGCCCGCGGGGAATAGGGCGATAATGCGAGCGCGATCTGTGGGGAATTGGGGGGAAGCGGCGGCTTGCGCGGGCGCGGAAGGGGACGGGCGGACGGCTGTGGTGCTGCTGGGGTGGCTCGGCGCGCAGCAGCGGCACATGCGGCAGTATGCCACGTGGTACAACGCGAGGGGTATCGATGCGATCGGGTTCGTCATTCCGTTCACCGACATATTCAGCGTCAGGGTGAGTGACTGTCGCGAGAGTGACTTTAGCCAGACCGTTTTTGTAACGAGAGTGGTGGTACCGTGAGTGAGAGTAAATTACTATCTGATCAAGATGCCGTTCCCTACTGTGCTTTCGCTATTACCTTATATCGCTTACTTTTTTCGCATGTTACTCGCAGCTTGGCGAAAAGGCGGAGCTGCATGTCGACGATCTGGTCACGGAGCTTGAGAGATGGCTCCTCGAGGGCGCGAATCGCGGAGGGACGCACGGCGCGATTCACGGCGGGCTGGGCGGCGGCGGGCGCCGCACGCTGCTGTTCCACACGTTTAGCAACACGGGATGGATCGCATACGGCGCGGCGCTGCTGCGATTGCAGCGGAAGTACGGGAAAGAGGCAGTGGATGGATTATAAAGGGGTGTGTCGTGGACTCCGCGCCTATACTGGAAGAAGATCCCAAGGTGAGATCCGGGGAAACATTTACCAGACTGTGGAAGTCCTTATAGCGAGGATGAAGATCGATTTTAAGATCGGTCGTGGGCTCCGCACCTAGAGAAAACAGACTCATTTTGTGACGAACGATGTGAGGGTTTTCAGGGTAGTAGTTAGCGCTCTTAGAAAACAGACTCATTTTGTTCACTCTCTCCCCGTCTCAGAAGTCGTCTCAAGGGACGTCTCAAAGTTTTCAAGGTGGTAGCTAGCTAGCGCTCGCTCACACGGACCATTGTTCACTGTCTCCCCCTCCCACTCTCCCTCCCCCATCCCCGCCCCGCCCCCCCTCCCCACCTCTGCGGAACAATTCGAGGTAAGAGTTGACCCCGGCCAGGTCTTGATGCCTTCGGAACTCACGCCTGCACCCGCACCTGCACCCGCACACTCCCACCCGCACCTGCTCCCATCTGGCAGGCTGGATACCAGTAGTTCCCTTTTCGCCCTTCGATCGTTTGCCTCGCCCGTGGTACCCTTTTCTCCACTCTTCCATCCCCCATCACGTCTTTCCCTCTCGCCCTCCCCTCTTCCCCCCTCCCCCTCCCCTCCTGTGCCGTTCCCCTCCCTGTTCCGGTGCACTCCTGCAAACCCCAAGGTGTGGGGCACGGTTTTTCAGCAGTCATTTTGCAGAACTGCAGTGCGCAACGCGCATGGACTCCCTTGTCATTAACTCCTTCTGACTCCTTATTCCCCTCCTTTCACTGCCATATCTCCCCGCCAACCCCAAGGTGTGGGCGAGCGGGATTCTCAGCGGCCATTCTGCAGAAGCGCAGTGCTGCAACGCGCATGGGCTCCCTTGTCATTGACTCGGTCGTCGGCTGCTCCCAGCTCAAACCCGCCCTGACTCCCCTGCTCCCCTCCCTTCCCCACCGTCTGTGCCCCCAACCCCAAGGTGTGGGCGAGCGGTTTTTCAGCGGCCATTCTGCAGAAGCGCAGTGCAGCCACGCGTATGGGCTCGCTTGTCATTGACTCCTTAAGCTCCTTAGCCTTCCCCACCTCCCTCTCCCTCCCTTCCCCCACCACCTCTGCCCCTTATACACAGGTGTGGGCGAGCGGATTCTCAGCGGCCATTCTACAGAAGCGCAGTGCAGCAACGCGCATGGGCTCCCTTGTCATTGACTCGGTCGTCGGCTGCTCCCAGCTCAAATCCGCCCTGCTCCAAGCCAGCACCCTCCCCGCTGCTTCCTGCTCTTCTGCTTCTGCTGCTGCTGCTGCTGCTGCTTGGTGGTGGCGGTGGCGGTGGTGGTATTCCTACTGCTGCTGGTGTTGCTGCTGTGGATGCTGCCTCGGTGGTATCTGCTGCGGGTGCTCTCACTGCACCAGCATTCTCCAGTGTGACTGTAACCCGGAGTGACTGCAGCAGCAGCTGTGAGAGCCTGTACCCGGGGCAGGGGCGGGGCTTCGTGGCAAGGGGAAGGGCAAGGGCAGGGGAAGGGCAAGGGCAGGGGGAAGGGCAAGGGCAGGGGGGAAGAGAAAGGGGGTCTGGATGGTGGGGAGGGGTTGTTTCCTTCGCCTGCTCCCTGCGGGTGTGAGCTGGTTTGGTGGCGGGCTGACGAGGGCTGAGAGATTGAAGACGTGTGGGAGCAAGGCAAGGGGGAGTAAGGCGTCTGCAGGTGCTGCTGCGGCTGCTGCGGCGGCAGTGGCAGGCGGCCCGGGGGATAGAGGCATGCGAGAAGTGATTGATTGTGGTGCTGGTCCTGGTAATGGTTGTAGTAACGGGTGTGCTTCAAGAGGGGTGTCTCAGCAGGATCAGCAGCAGTGGTTGCTACAGCAAACAGCTGATAGCTGTGTACAGAATGCAAGCAGAGAAGCAGGAGAGAAAGCTGGTACTGGGAAAAGAGCTGAGAAAGAAGAGCAGGAGCAGGGGAGCGGCTTCACTTGCAGCAACAGCAGCAGCCAACGGCAGCAGCGGTGGTGGCAACAAGGAGGGGGGAGAGGCAGGGCGAGTGGGGCCGCGAGCAGCATGGTGCAGGCGTGTGGGCGGGCGGTGGGGGCGTGTGGGCGCGTGGCAGTGGCGGTGGTGAGGGTGGTGAAGGTGCGGCTGGATGCGCTAGAGAGTGTGCTGGTGACGGCGCTCTGGCTCATCTTCCAAGTGGCTCTGCGCATCCCCTACGTCAAAGGGGGTCGCTCGTCG